GTCATGATTTTTTTTTTCTTTTAGAGAAAGGGTCTCGGGGCTGGCAGAGTGGCTCAAGTGGTAAAAGTACCTGCCTAGCAAGCACTGAAGCCCTGAGTTCAAGCCCCAGTACCGCAAAAAAAAAAAAAAAAAAATTGTTAGCGACAAGTTCTCACTACATAGCCCAGACTGGCCTTGACTTTGCTATGCAGCATGGGCTGGTCTCTGACTCATGATCCTCCTGCCTCAGTCTTCGAATGCTGGGATTTCAGAAGTTCATCATCCCATCTGGCACATCACAGAGTCTTTGACCCTACCCTTCATGACTGAGACAATAGCTACTTTGTCCACTTGTAATATGAATAGAAATGACATGCTTTAATTGGCACTATTTCTGCCATACTGCAGGTAAAAACCGACAAATGGCTGATATGGTACATGGTTGTTCTGAGAACAGGTAACCAAAAGCTACCAGAAACTAACTTGTATGGCCAAACTGACACCTAGTGGCGCACTTTTAGAAGATATACCAAAAGTGTATTTCAAACCATTGATGGTTTGAAATTTAAATTGGGGTATAATTAATAATTAACAGAGGACCTATTTTACGTAAGTAATAGTATTAATTCTCACCAGTGATTGCCAAGCTTGGAAGCATATTTGAATGACTTCATAAGTCTCACACTCAGAGATTCTGATTTAACTTGCAGGAGGTGCAGCTCAGGCTGTGACATTTTTAAAAAGTGATTTTAATATGCAACTGGATTGAGAACAGACACATGAGATAATTATTATTCTTATCATTTTACAAATGATAGAAGTAAAACTTTAAAGTCACATAGTAGCAGGAAAGAATTTGAACTTGAGTCTAACATTTTCCCACTACATCATATTGTCTTTGCAGAGGCTTTTGGAGATCTGACATACCTACACTTAGACCTTCTGCTGCAGGAGTTTCAACACAGGGACACTGGAGAATTGCCTGGCCCTATGAGCTGAAACTCTGAAAACAACAGCTTGGTGTTGGTAGGGTAGCATGGCTCAATGAAGGCACTTTTTGACTAGCTGCTTCATTCAATGATTAATTAGCCCTGCGAGATTTTTTTAGTCTGAATTGGATAGTTGCAAGATAAATTTAAAACCATTTTTTCTTTCATAAGATCATAGATGTGTTAAAGACAACACAGATTAAACTAATCACCAATTATTGAGGTACCAGAAAGAGCTGATGATACTGCTGCTACACACTTACCTGTTTGGTCAAAAGCAGAGTTGCTGGGCATTGGCAGGTAAAGGAAAATGAAAGGATTCAAATACTAACACCTGAGACTTTGTCCTAAGTTGAACTGTCAAAAATATCCTCAGAGGACAGATGATCTTGGAAGGCCAAAGAAGCCCGTCTGTTCTAACCCATCCTGTAGAAACTACTGCAGGGGCTCCCTGGGGCAGTGAGGAAGGCAGCATTCTAGAGATGGACAGGAAGGATGCCAATGTCTGCCAGGGTCTGGCTCAATTACTTGCTAGGACAATTTACCTAAATTTTATGGGGAATGTTTTTTGATGAATGTTGGGGAGCATGTGAGAGCAGATTGAGGATGCTAAGGTTCAGCCAAGTAGCAACATTCTAGAAATTCATTTGAAAATCCTACATTTGGGGTCACAAACTGTTAGTTTGATGGCTAAATTTGGCTTATAGATGTTTTTGGCACAGTGTTAGCTTATAGTGTTTTTAATATTTTTTAATTAATTGCCAATGCTTAACACTGGGGAGATTTCACATAAAAATCCACATTTTGATTATGAGATATAACGAAGATAAATTTCTTTTTTTGGTGGGACTGGAGTTTGAACTCAGGACGTCACACTTGCAAAGCAGATGCTGTAACGCTTGAGCCACACCCCCAGCCCATTTTCCTCTGGTAATTTTGGAGACAGGGGTCTCAAGAGCTATTAGCCTCGAACTGCAATCCTCCCAGTCTCAGTTTCCCAAGTTGCTAGTATTATAGGTGTGAGCCACCAGTCGGGCTCTTTATAAAGGATTGTGGAACTTCTGGAGTATTTTGTCATTATAATATTTTGTTAGTATGAATAGATTAGCAAAACCATGAAGGTGAGGTCATTCTTGTCCTCACTCTAGAGGTGACTAGCTTTTAAGTCTGAGCCACTCCATCAGCCCTATCTTTGTGATGAGTTTTTTTCGAGATAGGGTCTCATGAACTATTTGCCTGGGCTGGCTTCAAGCCGCGATCCTCCTGATCGCTGCCTCCTGAGTAGCTAGGATTACAAACATGAGCCACCAGCACCCACCTAATAAATCACTTACTATGATCGTACTTTCTTTGGCTGCACCTGTGGCAGCGTCCTAATCTTAAGCTTTATACCCAAGAACCCAGAAACATCTGGAACATCTGCAACCACTAGTGACACTTGGATACTCAGAATGGCAGCTGCCAACTCCATGATACCAGCAAGATTGCTTTTTACCCTTTGACAACTTTTGCCTAATTTACATTTTTATATTAAATTCTTTCATTATTGTTGTTTTTGGTGGTATGGGGTTTGAATTCAGGGGCTCATCCTTGCTAGGCAGGTACTCTACTATTTGAGCCACATCACTAGCCCTTTTTTGTGTTGGGTATTTTTGAGATAGGGTCTCGCAAACTATTTGCCTAGGCTGGCTTCCAAATGTGATCCTCCTGATTACTGCCTCCCAAGTAGCTAGGATTACAGGTGTGAGTCACTGGTGCCCAGCAACATTTTTATATTTAATTCTTAAAAGAAAAACAAAACAAACAACAACAACAACAAAAAACCCTTGAGGGTGAGAAGGGTAGCAGCTTCTTTATTGTGAAGACACTGAGTGAACCATACTGGCAACAGGAGAGGAGAAAGCAGCTGTCATGGACCTCTCCAATCCTATTCTTTCTTCTAACACTTTCTCCTGTCCTTCCCTCACCTGGAAGGTCCTCCTACCTCTCCTCTGCCTATCTAAGTCTTGCGCAGTCTCAGATCCAATGAAAGCACACAATCTTGCAAGAGGACTCCCATGCCCTTCTCCCCTGAACTCCTTCAGCACATCTGCTGTGTGGCACACAATTCCCACTAGATTAAGCATATTGTCTTGAAAGGTTCTTGTATGTGTGTATTATAAACTCCTTGTAAACTCCTCCAGGACAAGGGCCATTTCTTCTGCTGTTGCTATGTCTCCCACAGTGCTAATGGCCTAACAGACCCTCTGTATGGCCTTGCTGGCTCACTGACTGGAGAATTCAGTGCAGCTCTCTTAAGCTCTTGCCAGCAATGCAAAGAGTGCACAATACAGTTCTTTCACTATTAAATGACAAATTCAAAGATAGAAGGGCTGAGAAAGTTCTCATACAGAATTCATCATTGTCTCAAATGCCTCATGGGAGCCAAAGCCCAGAATCCTCAGGTTAGAGGTGGAAATAACTTTGACAGACTGAATGTGATGGTGCTTTTTAGATTAGTATTTCACTTAGATGAAGTGTATAAAGTAGTAAATAAAAGCATGAGTCAAGGAAAGGGAAGATTTTCTGTGAACTGATATTCTCCAATGCTCTCCCATACTATGTTTCATAGCTGGTAGTTTATGGGGGGAAATAGTACTTTTTATAGTTCAGTGATAACAGAAGAGAGGATGTGATTAGGGGGAAGAAAAGGAGAGAGGGGTTCACACTGCCATTATTTTCCTCATTGAATATTTCAGTGTTTTTTAGGGTCACACTACTTGGAATTCTCTTTGGATCTCCTCTTTTCCATGGCTATTTTTGGAGTCTCAAGTGTTCTAAGTGAATCCCATCTTATGATACAAATATAGTTTGCAGCTGCTCCACAACACCTAAATCTTTTAAGCATTACTTACACTGAAGTTCATGAGAATTGCTAACCCACCTAGAGAAACAGCAGAGTTATTTCCTAGGGATTTAAATGTGCTCATGCCCACTCATACAGTATGAAGAGGGAAATGATTGTGTTGGCTTGGTTTTTTGTTTGTTTGGTTGGGTTTTGTTTTTTCTTTCTTTTGATGTAATAGTTCTGTGACTTGACTTCCACACTGCCCTGTAGGTTGAAGTTAAAAGAGCTTCCTCTAGAATAAGACTAGACTTGCAGATTTAAAAAACAAAAAAAGTCACTTGAGCTGTTTCTTTCCTAGACAAAAGGAATTCTAGTTTGGATTTCAGAGGGCAATTTGTACAGCTTGCAAAATACACTGAGTCTTTCAACATTGATATTCTATTAAAATCTGTAGCTCTGACCCAGATTTCGTAGTGACCTTTCAGGGGTATGGGAAAATATACTCAGTCACCTAACATGATACCAGCCTTCTGGTTTTCTTTTCTTTCTTTGTTTTTAGCAGCACTGGGATCTGAACTCAGGGCCTACATGCTTGCTAGGCAGGCACTCTTAACTGCTTGAGTCACTCTGCCAGACCTTTTTTTGAGATAGGGTCTCACAAACTATTTGCCTGGGACTGGCTTCTAACCATGATCCTCCTGATCTGTGCCTCCTGAACATCAAGGATTACAGATTGAAGCCACCGGTGCTCAGCTGTCAGGCTTCTTTAAAACTGTATAAATGACCTGGGTGCTGGTGGCTTACGCCTGTAATTCTAGGTACTCATGGTTTGAGTACCTAGAGGATCATGGTTTGAAGCCAGTCTGGGCAAACAGTTTGCAAGGCCCTATTTTGGAAAAAAACATCACAAAAAAGAGCTGGTGGAGTGGCTCAGGATTTAGGCCCTGAGTTCAAGCCCCAGTTCTGCAAAAACAAAACAAAACAAAACAAAAAACCTGTGTAAATGGTGCACATCAAGAGATCAAGTCGACTGTTAAAATTTTTTCTTTATAAACATAGTGACAACAAGATTGTACAATGTCAATGAAAGAGACAGAGGGTGACCCAGTCCACTGCTGCCTGTGTCTTGAAGCAAGAGAAGCATTCAGCCTCCCACAGAGAGAAGACTTGACACTAGGAAAAATATCTTCTGAATATTTACCCAGCTAGGGACCTGGGCTGGGAGATCCAAATGGTCCCATGTCAATCCTTTTTTCCCTAATGGTGCGTAGATCTTTGACAAGTGGAGACCGACTTCTTCGTGTGGTTAGGTCTACTACTGGACTTTGTAACCAGGGATTCGGTGATCGAGGCAACATGGGCTGTAAAGAAATATTAACCTATGAGCAAGTATGTCAAAGATGATGTCATGAGACGGTAGGCCCAAAGTGACAATCTCTTTACCTATGGTTTGTTAGGATAACTCTATGAATTACTAAACCTAGTAAGAATGCAGAACTTACGGGTTGGTTTGATGCCAGTCACCCTTGACTCTGGTCAGAAACCTAAGTGGCAACAGGCCTGAACTGCTCACCTGGGAAGATCTGGTCACTTGCATGGTGATCTTTGTTTGGGACTAGCTTATGTTTTTTTGTTTTGTTTTGGTTTTTGAGACAGAGTCTCACTTTATAGCCCAGGCTGGCCTCTCTGACTCATGATCTTCCTGTCTCTGCCTCCCTAGTGCTGGGCTTACAGATGGGCACCATTATGCTTATGTTTTATATATCTTTATCGAAAGAGGCAGAAGCAGCAGCAATTATGGGACACTTCCATTCAATTTTGCCCATTTTCTTCTTTCTTCGTCTTTTTGTTTTTCAACATGTAGCTCAGACTGACCTCAAATTCATGATCCCTCTGCCTCATGAGTGATGGGATTACAAGTGAGTGCCACCATGACCATCTCCCTTTCTTTCTTTGTTCTTGTTTTATTTTGACATGAGACACTTTGTATCTCTGAGTAAAGACCCTTATTCTTGGGATGTACTGAGGAGATGGATTTGTTCAACATCAGCCCACCGCTCTATTTTAATCCATAAACCATGTAGTCATCACCAGGGTTGGTCTTTTATCTGGGTTACAGCTTCTTCAGAGTACATGTACTTCTAATATCAATCCAGGTGTCCACTAGTCCGTGGAATAATGAGGGAGATGTCTTCCTTGCTCCCAAATTAATTCTCAGGTTGGGGCAAAAGTACAAAGGGAAACCAACTGCCATATGAATAAATGTTTAAGTGTTATATGTGTAAGAATTTAAGTGTTATAAATTAAACTAACAAACAGTTGGGTAAAATATGTTGTTACCTACCTTGACAAGGAGAGCAGGTGTGAATTTAGAGTTCTTGGACTCTTTGGAGTTACTTGCCAGAACAGGTTGGTGCAGGAATGCTGACCCGCAACCCCTCCACCCCCATTTCTTTCCATTCCCAGCTCCATTCCACACTCTGCCGACCTTCAACTGCACCTGTGGACACTCCAGGCTGCATGTCCAAGTTCTGTTCTTATGCTCCTGCCAACAACCACCTGCTGACCCCTCCTGGAGTTCAAGTGTACATATGAGCAATGCTGCCCACTCTGGGGAAGACAGCCCAGGCTACAGGCTTAAGAGTAGGTGGGACATTCCGGAGTGTGTGTCCAGAGTATGCGGTCTGTAAGGCCAACTGTGGGCTCTGGTAGGACATACCCACAGACCGCTTGCCCTAGGGGCGGGGGTGGGGGGCATGTGACCAGAAGTAAGAGCTGAGGCCTCAGGGCAAAGGCCTCACTTGCTCCAGGGGGTTATTGGCTAAGTGACTGCTAGCCATCTTGATATAAGTTTGCCTTTCAAGGAAGTCTACTATCCAGAGTGCTGGTAAACTGCTGATGTGACAGGAAAGTATAGGACCACAGGCTAACAATGTGCCCTATGGCCCAACACTGAAGAGTGTTGTCATAGAAGAAAAATAAGGTTTAAAATGTGTAGGACCAGAAGCTAGCTTACGGAAAATTCTCCTAATTGTCATATGTTTAAAATCATAGGCTGGTCAAGGCTCAGGCTTATAATCCAGTCACTCAGGAGGTGGAGGTGTGGAGGATAGCAGCTTGAGGCCCAGCAAAAAGTTAGTGAAGTCCCATCTCAATCAATAAACTGGGCATGCATGGTGTTTGTATGCCTGTGTTCCCAGCTACACTGTAAGAGGATTGAGGTCTGAGACTGGGCTGGACAAAAACTCAAGAGCCTATCTGAAAAATAACTAAAGCATAGAAGAGGGCTGGGGATGTGGCTCAAGTAGTAGAGTCCTTTCCTGTAAAGTGTTGAGGCCCTGAGTTCAAATTCCCACACTGCTAAAAAATGATAAAAGAAGGGTTTAGTTCTTGATATCTAGTCAAGAAGTTCTCTCCTGACAATGCAGCATTGTAAATGTACCTTTCCTTTTGCTCGTTTGGTAGAATTTATTAGTATTTGTATGCTCATAAAACAAACTGGTAGTGGTATTACAGTGAGTTTGTCTTTGTGTATCTACAGCTTCCTCTCCATTAAATAATGGGAACATTTTTTGTTTGATGGGACTGGGGTTTGAACTTAGGGTTTCATGATTGCAAAGCAGGTGCTCTACCACTTGAGGCATGCCTCCAATCCATTTTGTTCTGGTTTTTTTTTGGAGATGAGCTTGAGCTTTCACAATCTACTTGCCCAAGCTGGGCTCAAACCATAATCCTCCTTATTTCAGCCTCCCAAGTAGCTAGGATTATAGGTATGAGCCACCAGCTCTTAGCAATAAGAACATTTTTATTATGGTACCTTATGAATTTGACGGAATTATTTCTGACTTTTATGCTTGGTTATTCTTATGATTGATTAATCTCAAAAACCTAATACCCTAGATAGGTGCCAGTGGCTCATGCCTGTAATCCTAGCTACTCAGGAGGCAGAGATCAGGAGGATCTCAATTCAAAGCCAGCCCTGACAAATAGTTCCCAAGACCCTATCTTGAAAAAACCCTTCACAAAAATAGGGCTAGTGGAGTGGCTCAAGGTGTAGGCCCTGAGTTCAAGCCCCAGTACCGCAAAAAAATAAAAATAAAAAGCCTGAGTTTTCTCCAAACATTTTTGAAGGTTTTTAAAATTGTTTCATATCTGGTCAAGTTAGCATTTTAAGTTTATTTTTGATTTGTAATAAAAGTTACAACTTAATTTTTTTCTTTGAAAAAAAAAAGTCAAACTGCAAGTGCCTATTAATAAAGATCTTTAAAGTTAGACCAGGTTCCAGTGGCTCACGCTTGTAATCCTAGCTACTTAGGAGGCAGAGATCAGGAAGATCTCCGTTTGAAGCCAGTCCTGGCAGATAGTTCGTGAGACCTTATCTAGAAAAAACTCATCACAAAAAAGGACTGGTGGAGTGGCTCAATGAGTTCAAACCTCAGTACCAAAAAAAAAAATAAAAAAAAAAGACTGTTAGCTGGAGGTGACTCAAGTGGTTAAGCATCAACACAAAGCCCTGAGTTTATACCCTAGTACCACACACACACACACACACACACACACACACACACACACAGAGTAAACTGTAATCTGTCTCCTGTTTGCCAAACCCAAGGCTTATATCCCTAAATCCTTAAGAAAAACATAAATGTATAAAGTCTATTGTGAAAGTTCTATAACCAGTAAAGTCAGTGCACAGAAGGAATTTCTATGTTGTTTGTCATACATATCTTTCCAGATGAAATTCAACTGTGCAAACATGCTCACATGCAACACATAGTGTTTTATTTATTTATTTTTATTTTGTATTTTTGTTTTTGAGACACGGTTTGCCATGTTGTCCAGACTGGCCTAGAACTTGTGATCTTCCTGCCTCAGCCTTCTGAGTGCTAGGATTACAGGTATGTGCCACCATACTCATACATAACACACAAGGTTTTAAAGAAAAAGATATAAATGCGTAATTTGTGACTTTTTTTTTGGAGTACTGGGGTTTGAACTCAGGGTCTCCAATTTCAGCCACTCCCTTTTTGTGATGGATATGTTCAAGATGGGGTCTCCAAAACTGTCCGGGCTGGCTTCAAACCATGATCCTCCTGATCTCTGTCTCCTGAGTAGCTAGGATTACAGGCATGAACCACTGGTGCCCAGCAGTTGTGACTTTTTTAAACAAAAAATAGAACAGCATACTATTCTCCAATTTGTTGGTTTTTGTCACTTTACGATACATTTTATACATCATTCATTGTCACTCTTTTAGTGGTATGGGGGTGGGGGTGCTGAACTCAGAGCATCTGTCTCTCTAGGCAGGCACTTTAGCACTTGAACCCCTGCCAGCCCAATTGTCATTCTTTTCAATAACTGCCTATTAATAGGCATTTGAGTCATTTCCAAATTGAAATATACAAGTAATGATGTATATTTATATATTATATGTATAATTATATATATATGAATTTTGGGTTTTTTTGTTTTGCAGTACTGGGGTTTGAACTCAGGGCCTTGCACTTGCTAGTAAATTTTTTTTTTTTGAGACAGAGCTTTACTACATTGCCCAGACTGGTCAATGTAGATTAATTGATCCTTCTGTCTCAGTCTCCCCAGTAACTGGATTACAGGTGAGTACCATCACACCCAGCTTATGGGTGAATTTTTTTTTTTTTTTGCATTACTGGCGCTTGAACTCTGGACCTTCACCTTGAGCCACTCCACCAGCTCTATTTTTGTGAACAGTTTTTCGAGATAGGGTCTTGAGGAACTATTTGTCCAGGCTGGCTTCAAACCACAATCCTCCTGATCTCTGCCTCCTGAATAAAGGTTAGATTCCTAGGAGTAGAACCACTGGGTGAAACATCTAACAGTTTGATATTGATCACTTGTTCTCAAAAATTTATGCCAGGTTTCTCAATAATAATCACTGTTAAATATTGTGACATAAAGATTCCCAAAATTGTTCCAACAGGACGGGTGGAGATATATATATTTATATATATGCCTCCAAAAGGATGCTAATGTAAATCTCATCTTGATTTTTCTCCCATTCAACAACATTTTAAGGACATTATTCCAAATCATTAATATATATTAAAATATATGTATGTATATATATATATATATATATATATATATATATACATATATGAAAATTGCTATTAATAGCTGTTGCTTTTGTAGTGAGGACTAAGTAAAGCCACAGGAAAAGTGATGAAATTAAAGATAAGTCAGATTCCAAAAGGCAACTCCTCATTACATGGGAAACTAGAGGAGAGAGATATCAACAAGACTCTTTGAGGAAACCACAAGATGTTGAATAAAGAAAAGGATGAGGTCACAGGAAAGCCTGGGAGGATGAGATAATTTGTATAGCATGTGGAAATGACCCACTTATAGCCCTCTTAGTAGCTGAGTACAGCCAGCTTTTCATGCAGAGAAGCATAGTACATTCCCCTAGCTCACTGTAGGATATGTCCTTTGTCAACTGAAAACCACTCTTTTAGAAAGGGTTAGTCAATTCCCAGTGACAAATGTAACTTGTCCTCCCAAGGGATCCCATATCAGGGTTCTATCAGCAAACACAGTTGTTGTATCAACTGGGAAGAGGGCTCCCCCTCCTGCTGCCCCTGCTTCATGACCCCTTAGCCCTGTACTAGGACACAGGACTTGGGAGAGCACTGGTTGATTTAAATCCCTTCTGTGATCCTCTGCCAGGTACCTTTGTGCAGAGCAGTACCTACACAATTTCACACAATGACCTCAACTGATATGGTTCCTACCAATTTGCTGAAATTTCCATGTGGGCATGTGCAGAAATAATTGTAAACTCCTAATCCCCCACTGCCACCCGTCCCAATCAAGAACTCTTCCCCACCTGTAATCCCAGTGCTCAGGAGACTGAGACAGAAAGATCCAAAGTTTGAGATGAGCCTGGGCTACATATTGAGATCCTGTCAAACAAACAAACAAGAAACTCCGTCTTGCCTAATCCTACCCTCCCATCCTTCCAACTAGGCCAGTGGCAGATAAACCACCATCCTATTGAGCTTTGCTCCATAATAAAAAATTATTATTATAGCTACCATTTTAAGTGTTTAGCTCTGTATTAGGTTAAGTGCTCACATGCCTTATTTTATCCTTACAACAACTCCATGAAGAAGTAGGTGAATTATTACCTCCATTTCACATATATGATAACTGAGACCTGAAAGAGTAACGTGTGTGAACTAATGCCAGAAATGCCAATGCTGGTTGATCTGTTTCCCACAAACATCTCCTGTGTATCTTCTGTGAGAAAAACAGGGTGCTAAGTACAAGAAAGGCTAGAAAAAGGCATAAGGAAGTTCTTTTCTTGAAGGAGTTTACAGTTTAGGAAGGCTCAATGTGCTAAACTCGTGAAAGGGTCAAAATTCTCAAGGCAGACGGTAGAAACTTTGGGGAGGAGATGGAATGTGAAATGACCTTTATTGAGGGCCTTAAGAGAAGATGATTGGAAGACTGCATTTAGAGGGACTCCCACCAGAAAACATATGGAGGATGACACAGGTAAGGAACAGCAAATAGCCAGCTTGTAGCAGTAGAGTTTAGCCAGATAAGACATTTCTGACACTGGCTCTACCACTTGAGCCACACCTCCAGCCCACGTGATGTGATTTTTAATATCTAGTGCAGAAGCTTGAATTGAGCAATGCGGCACATGGATAGGTTTTTGACTAGGGTGATGACAAGTTTTAGGATATACCCCGAGAAAATCTTGTAGCTACTTGTGGTAGCACGGGAGAGAGCAAAGGTAAAGAGACTAGTTGGGAGGCTTCCAGGGTTTTTAAGCCTTAGCACTATGGATATTTTGGGTTGTATAATATTAATTGTGTGTGTGTGAGGGGGTGTCCTCTGCATTGTGGGATATTTGGCAGTATCTCTAGCTTCTACCTATCAGATGCTAGAAACTCCCCTTCCCACATAAGACATTGCTAAATGTCACTATGGAGGCAAAATTATCCTCATTGAGAACCATGTAACAAACTATGTGGGATATAAAGAAGAGAGGGTGGATGCTACACATGGGTAGCATGTAAAAGCTTTGGCAAATGTTTGGATAGGGGTGTGATGAAGGAGCATTGTAAACTCAAACAGAATCACAGAAAAGATCCTAGAGGCTATGTAGTCCGAAATGCTTATAATTGCCTACAACATTCTAAACCTCTTTGGAGGGTAATTTGGTATAGCCATTTGCCAAACAATTTACCAAAACCTATTCATAATCACAAACATTATCTTGCCCTTTGAGTTAAAATTCTGTTTCTGGGATTTTATCTTAAATGATTCAAATAAAGATTAGTAATCTTTATATACAAATCAATAATAGAGGGTTGGGTGAGGTGGTACGTGCCTGTAATCTCAGCCTCCCCAGCTGAGACAGGAGAATAATGAGTTTGAGGACAGTCTGGGCTACATAGCAAGACCCTGTCTCAAAACCAACAACAAACATAAACAAAAACAACAATAGGTGCATGAAGACAGTGAACATGTTTTTAAAAATTACACTGTCATGCCTGTTAGGGTGGATATAGGGCAACCACATTAGGACCAGAGCCCTTCCCCCTTGCAGATGGCTTACTGGGTAAACTCTTCACCCAGCCCTAAAGCATAACAAACATCCATCTTTAGCCATTTACCAGAAACTCCTCACCCAACCTGGAAGAATGACCCATCCTTAAACCATTATCTTGGGAGGGTCAGAGGGCCAACTGAGGATTTTCCCACTCAGGGTTCTTCCTGAGACTTCTCCACCAACCTCCTATATCTACCTGCAGTCTGTAAGCGGCCTTTTGGGCTTCAGCTCTCTTGTTGGGAACCCCCTCCACAAGTTTCTTCTCCCCAATAAAGCCTCTGATGACATAGTGTGCCATCTCCCATCTATCCTTCCATGCCTTTTTTCAGTCTAACAATGCCTACCATATTGCCTGTTAAAAGAGAAATAAAGAAACAGAGGAGAGGGCTGGGTGCATGGCTCAAGCAGTAGAGCACTTTCCTAAAAAGTACAAGGCCCTGAGATCAAACCCCAGTACTGCGAAAAGCAATAAATAAAATAAAAACAATCAAATGAAATGAAAAGATAATTGATATTTAATAAAAAACAGAATCAGAGGAGGTAGAAGATTCTCAAGAGAAGTTGTAGCTAATGAACAAAACCTCAGATGGGTGGGAAAGGCAGACATCAAGAATGCATGCACTGAAATTCCTAATTTCTCTTTTAGAGAGGATAATGACTGCAAGGATTTGTATGGGAGAAAGGAAGAAGGAAGTTAGGGGAGGAACTCTTCAGAGCTTCAATCAGTGAGTGCAGAGCAGGAAGGACTGATTGAACCTGGGATTCTTGTGGAATCTCCAACTTTGCCTTATGTCATTCCTTGAAAACAAGTATTTTCTGGTGTGAAGCTGCCAGAGGAATACTCAGGAGGTAGACTAGAAGGAAAAAGAAATTAAGTGGCCAATTGTCTTTCTCTTGGAGTTCCTAGAAACTTTTTAAATTGCTCTCTGAGGGTTTTGGGGGTGAAAATGATCAAAATGCTGCATACTAGAATATGAAAACATAATAAAACCCATAAAAACGTTTAAAAAGGGGAAGTAGGGATAAGAAAGTAATAAGAGGTGGTGAATTTGATCAAAGTACATTATAAGCATGTACGGGAATATAACAATGAAATTCCTTTGTACAATTAACATATGGCAATAAAAAAGGGAAAAAATAAATTGCTCTCTGAATACGTAATCTATGATTTGTTGGCAGGGATTCTGCCTCTAGTGTGAGCCACGTGTTCAAATGAACGTAAACTTTACTCACAAACCCAGCGGGCGGAGCCGGGTGGAACAGTGGGCGTGGCCATCCCAGAGGACGCAGGAAGTCCCTCCCCTTCCCAGAGTGCACCGCGGCCTCCGCCAGGTTGAGTTTTTTTTTTTTTTTTTTCTCGTGTGCGCTCACCGGACTCAGAAGGCCGTCCCACCATGAATGGGCTGCGGGCTACTGCTGGGCTGTTGAAGCGCGGGCGTGGAAGGCGCCGGCGCCAGCCTCAGCCACACAGCGGGTCGGTCTTGGCCCTGCCCTTGAGGCCCAGGAAGATCCGTAGGCAGCTGAGGAGAAGCGTTGCGTACCGCTTGGCCGCACGCAGGGCTCCGGCGCTGCTAAGCGAGGACTCCGAGGACTCGAGAGTGGAGTCGACGGCCGACGGTCTAGGGGACGCGCTACCCGGTGGCTTCGGGCCTACAGAGCTGCTGGAGGCCACGACAGCCGTGCGCCTGGTGCCGACTGCGGCGCCCCCTCCGCGCTTGGTGGAGGTGCGCGCCTCGGAGGACACCGCCCGGCTGTGCGCTGCCCAGCATTTGGGGGCCGCCGCATCGCCGGGGATTCCGTCTACGCTGTCAGAACCGGCGGATGACGCGGGTCAGGAGCTGCCCTGGGACTCGCCGCTACAGCGCGTCTTGGCCGAGCTGAACCGCATCCCGAGCAGCCGGCGGCGGGCTGCGCGCCTCTTTGAGTGGCTCATCGCGCCATTGCCGCCCGACCACTTCTACCGGCGCCTTTGGGAGCGGGAGGCGGTGCTAGTGCGGCGGCAGGACCATACCTACTACCAGGGACTTTTCTCTACCGCCGACTTGGACTCCACGCTGCGCCACGAGGAAGTGCAGTTCGGACAGCACCTGGACGCCGCGCGCTACGTCAACGGGCGGCGCGAGACCCTGAACCCGCCAGGCCGCGCCCTGCCCGCCGCCGCGTGGTCCCTGTACCAGGCCGGTTGCTCCTTGCGCCTCCTCTGCCCTCAGGCGTTCTCCACCACCGTGTGGCAGTTTTTGGCTGTGCTCCAGGAGCAGTTTGGAAGCATGGCAGGCTCCAACGTTTACCTTACGCCCCCCAACTCTCAGGGCTTTGCCCCTCACTACGACGACATCGAGGCTTTCGTGCTGCAACTGGAAGGCAGAAAACTCTGGCGGGTCTACCGACCCCGGGTCCCAACTGAGGAACTGGCTCTGACATCCAGCCCCAACTTCAGCCAGGAGGACCTTGGGGAGCCAGTGCTGCAGACAGTGCTGGAACCTGGAGATTTGCTCTATTTTCCTCGGGGCTTCATTCACCAAGCCGAATGCCAGGACGGAGTCCACTCTCTGCACCTCACTTTGTCCACGTACCAGCGCAATACCTGGGGCGACTTCCTGGAGGCCGTCTTGCCTCTGGCAGTGCAGGCTGCAATGGAGGAAAACGTGGAATTCCGGAGGGGTCTGCCCCGAGACTTCATGGATTACATGGGGGCCCAGCATTCGGATTCTAAGGATCCGCGAAGAACCGCTTTTATGGAGAAGGTGCGGGTCTTGGTTGCCCGCCTGGGACACTTTGCTCCTGTGGATGCTGTGGCGGACCAGCGAGCCAAAGACTTCATCCACGACTCTCTGCCCCCTGTGTTGACTGACAGAGAGAGGGCACTAAGCATTTACGGGCTCCCAATTCGCTGGGAGGCTGGAGAACCTGTAAACGTGGGGGCTCAGTTAACAACAGAAACAGAAGTCCACATGCTTCAGGATGGCATAGCTCGGCTGGTGGGTGAGGGAGGCCATTTGTTCCTCTATTACACGGTGGAAAACTCTCGTGTTTATCATCTGGAGGAACCCAAGTGCTTGGAAATTTACCCCCAGCAAGCTGATGCCATGGAACTCTTGCTTCACTCCTACCCAGAATTCGTGAGAGTAGGAGATCTGCCTTGTGATACTGTGGAAGACCAGCTTTCCTTGGCAACCATGTTGTATGATAAAGGGCTGTTGATCACCAAGATACCTCTGACTCTAAACTAGTTTCTTATTGATTGTTGGAAAGAAAGCAGTAGTGATTCTCTACTACCACTGCCACTTTTTTTTTTTTTAAACTGTTCTTACCTTGATAATTGTCAGTGTGATCATATTTACCTTTATGGCTTCTTCCGTGTCACAAATCTCAGACGGTGTTCTATGAAGAACCTCTTCATCTAGGTACAAAAGTAAAGGCAGAAATTGGAGGAGGACAAAAAAGGAGCTGTTTCTACAGATGTAACTGTGACCCCTGATCATTTCAGAGCACCAGCTGCACTCCCTTTAGGCTTCAGTGTACTGTTGTAGTACTGGCCACAGCCAGTGTCTCACTGCTTGAGACATTAGAAGTTTTTACTTGGAAGTTGCATCTTTCATTTGAGTCCTCTTTCATCAGTTTGGGGGGGAGGGCTGGGGTCAGTATTTTGTTACTAAGTTTGTATGAACTGTTAGAAGAGTTATTAAAGTGCCAAAGAGTACTTCCTTTTTCTAAGCCTAGATTATTAATCCGTTGGTTTGAAGAAATGCAGGAGAGGGAGGAAGATGAGAAAAATCTATGATGACTGAGATGCAAGCCAACTTGAAGTGGTTGCAGTATGTAAAAGGAGCATGCTAAACAACTTTTTAGAGGAGAGTGCTTTGCCTAACATGTCCCAAGGCTCTGGGTTTAATTCCAAGTACTGCAAAAAAAAAAAAAAAAAAAAAAAAAAGGTGGGGCGGGGGGAGGGAGGGACTGGTTATAGCTCAGTGGGAGAGCAAATACCTCCAAACACTTAGCATTTGCAAGACCCTGGGTTTGATTCCCCTTTCTATACACATACACTAAAGAAGAGAAACTCATTTGGTTGGGCCATTTTGTCAACTTTGAGGGTAATTTACTCATTTCAGTTCTGGTACTTGAAACCAAACAGCACGATCCTAGTAAAAAAGTTATCTTCCACTTACAGTGTCACGTTTAAGAAGATGTTTTTGCCCAGTGCTTGCTTGAGTCACTGGCTGGCACCACTCTCCAGAAGGCAGTGTGTTACCTAATTGTGCTCTCATTGACCTTAATCAACCAAATTGTAGGAAGCTGGTTGTGAGGGAAGGGTTTTCAAGTTACTTTCCCTCTTATTTTTTTTTCTAGCAGTTGGAAGAAACTCCCCCAAATCTGGCAAATGAATATTCCCATGGTTGGTGGAAAAGAGCCTGGTGTACTTAGAAAGAGACTGGACTTGGAACCAGAAGACCTTGGTTTGGGGTGGTGGCTGGTAGGCATCTGACAGTGACCTGAGGCTGCTGCTGTGCTTATGCACACAGATTTTGTAAGTATATTTTGACTTGATTTCTGCACCTTTATTTAGGTTATATCTGGGATCTAAGATCCTATCACCATAACTGATAAGTTCAGTTTTTAAAGTTGAAAACTTTTATATAGTTTTTTGTTCTAAAAGCATAGATGTACATAAAAATGATAGCATTCCCACCAGCCCCACTTCCCATAGGTAACCACTATTAAAGGCTAATTGTATGAGCCTTTGGGGTGCTTAATCAAACATACACTAGTTTTTTATTTTGTTTTTATGAAGACTCACTTTTCTAATATGTTCTTCTTTGACCTTTTAAGTCAGTTCTAATAGAGCTACCCTTTTTTGTTGTTTTTAAGGACAAAATAGCAAAGTAATAAAAACTTAGTAGCCAAAGGAGAAAAAAACCTAAACACAACAATAAAACACCAAGCGAGCCTGAGCATGTGGTGATCAAGAAGGAAAAGAAGTAGCCTTTCCTGATTTTTGTCCTATAGGGTTTCCTAGTATATCCCCAAACATCTAGATTCTAAAATAGGCTTATTTAAGAAGTCAAGGTATAGGATTCACCCCTAGGAAACCTACTCTGAAAAGTTTCTTGGAGAAAAGTAGGGAGTTCCAATGGTTTTTGCCCTTCCTTGGGTTGTAAGTAAACACGTTTTGCTTCTTCCTTCATTTTTAATATGGCCATCTCCAGGTTGAGTATTTTCTGAGTCAGCACCTCCTTTTGGTTTAGTGTTTCAATCTAGATTAGAAAAAAAAATGGTGTTAAAGAAAAAACTACTGGGCAGCAAATCATCAAAAATCATGCTTGTTAGTATCAGGTAGTACTTGAATGCCTAAGAACATTATTCTCGTGTGATATTGATTGCAGGTTTTTTACATCTTTTAATGAAAATTTTACTTTTTGCTATTTGGGCATGAGGAAAGAAACATGCTAAGAAATACCTGCTTGGTGTGAAGTTGGTTTTGTGAATTACCTTTTTAAAGTCCTTCATCTCATCTGATGGCTTTGAAAAGTTAGAACAACTGTTTGAACTATAGAGTTCTTTTGGGAAAAGAGCACAGATTAGGAATTAAGGAAAATTCAGAGGGAAAAAGAAAATTTAGGGGGCCAACCCTAACCTCTCATTCCTTCTTTATGCCCATACGCAAAAAACAAGTTAGATTTAAGGGAGGGTGGAGACACAGGAGGTATGAGGATAGGTAAGAAACCCAAAAAATGGGTGCTGGTGGAGTGGCTCAAGTGGTAAGAGTGCCTGCCTAGCACACAGGAGGCCCTGAGTTCAACCCCAGTGCTGCAAAAAAAAAAAAAAAAAAGAAAGAAAAACCCAAAAAACATGATAGTATTTGATGTCCTCAATGCAGAGGAACTAATGCAGAAACTTTAAAGCGATAGAGGTCAGTAGGAGAAGGGGATCAGGAACTACAGAAAAGGTCAGTTTGAGAAGAATCAACTTAGAATGTAACACATTTGTACATAGAAGCAATGCTAGGAATTTCCCTGTGTAGCTATCCTTATTTCAACTAGCAAAAATGCTTTGTCTTTCTTATTATTGTTTATACTCTCTCTTCAACAAAATTAGAGATAAGGGCAGAACAGTTTCTGCCTGGAAGGGAGGGAGTGGGGGGGGGGCGGGGAGGGCGTGTAGGGGAGAAATGGCTTAAACATTGTATGTACGTATGAATAAACGGGAAAAAAAAGGCGGGTGGAGAGAAAATGGGAAGGAAGTGAAATAGTATTTTAGTGTTTTATTTTTTTGGCAGTACTGGGGTTTAAGTTCAAGGCTTCATGCTTGCTAGGCAGGTGCTCTACCACTTGAGCCACAATTCTAGCTCAGTAAACCCTGATTTTGAGTGCTACTTAATAGAACAATAGGATTTTTTGTTTTTTAACTAATAGGATTTAATTTAATTTATTTATTTTTGTGGTACTAGGGTTTGAACTCAGATCTTCATGCTTGCTAGGCAGATGCTCTACCCCTTGAGCCACTCTGCCAGCCATTACTAATAGGCTCTAAACTAAATCTTACTCTTTGAAGGTGTTTTGCATCTTCAAATGATGTATGTGTTTGGAGTTGTTGAAAGTATTTCTGTGGTGGAGAAAAGGGTATGTACATGCTTAGGGGAAAAAAGGTCTTTGGAACTCTTGTGAGTCCCGAATTTTTTTTTTTTTTTTTAAACAGTTTGCACTTACCCTGTTCTTGATCTCCTGAAGCATTTCTTGATTTCCTTCATTTTCTAAGTTGAGTATCTTCATTGCCTGGTAAATTTCCCTGAAAGATACAAGCAATAATCCTAAATTCTAACTGCAGGGTTTTGTTTGGTTTTTTTTGCAGTACTAGAGTTTGAACTCAGGACCTCATGCTTGAGTCACTCTACCAGCCCTGTGTTGGGTATTTTTAGTGTGGTCTTGTTTTTGAGACAAGGTCTCATTGTGTAGCCCAGGCTGGTCTGGAACTTGAGGTCCTCCTGCCTCAGCCTCCTGAGTGCTAGAATTACAAGCGCACACCCATGCCCAACTCTAAAGGTGGATTCTTTTAGTTGATTTTGTGGTTTGATGATATCTGGGCAAGGAAAGAGCTGTGCACACATGGCAGTAAATAGCATTGAGTCCCTTGGTGAACAATCTGTGCTGAGGTCATTTTTGGGTCTCCTTTAATCCTTTGGGTTTTTTTCTTTTTCTGTTTTTTTTTTTTTTTGGCAGTACTGGGTTTTGAACTTAGGGTCTTATGCTTGCTAGGCAGGCACTCTTCCATTGAGACACTCCGTCAGCCCCTGTGTTGGGTATTTTTAAGCTAGGGTCTCCCTTTTTCCCTGGGCTGTCCTTGAACCGCAATCCTCCTGATCTCTGCCTCCTGAGAAGCTAGGATTGTAGGCATGAGCTCTTGGTGCCTGGCCTAACTGCAGTTTTGCTGAGCCTTCTCCGTGAAAATGGTAATCACATTTAGCTTATTCAGATATTGTGCAGTTTGGGAAGTGATATATTTGAAGGTATTAATAGGTAACTATTTATTGAACACCTTTATGATGGGTAGTAAATGTCATCTCCTTGATTGCCACTATAGCCCTGTAATGTAGACTATCACCTGCATTTGAAAAAAATGAGCTCAGAGAGATTGACTGCCTTCCCAAGGCTAACATAGCTATTGCGTGACAGAGCTGGAATTCAAACCAGTCTTTTTTACTCTTAAAACCTCTTGTCACAATAGGCGCTTAATAAATCTTAGTTGACTGTCTGAATAACTTAAAAACCATCCACCTATTCAGGAGGCACAGATCAGGATGATTGTGGTCTGAGGCCAGCCCAGGCAAAAAAGTTAGCCAGATCCCATCTCATACAACCCAGGCATAATGGCATACAAATGTAATCCCAGAATTGCAGGAAGCATAGTAGGAGGATCACACAGTCCATGACTAGCACAAGACTCTATCTAAAAACAGTAATAATAACTAAAGCAATAAAGGGCTGAAGGTGTGGCTCAAGTGGTAAAATGCCTGCTTAGCAAGCACAAATTCCTGAGTTCAAATCCAAGTACCTTTAAAAAAGAAAAAAAAAAAACTGGCTGAAAGAAACAGCACATGCACTACATGAGTTTGGCAATCTTAATTTAAGCTGGATTTTCTGTCACCTAGTTGAGTAAATAGGTGAATGGCATAGGGAGCCTGGAAAGACGGCATATTCAGGGGACAAGGATGAGAGAGTTGGCAGTCCAGGAGGTAGTGGCAGGGAGCAGAGGTTTAGCACTTACTTGAGAACAGCCTCATGGTCCTCCAGGAGCAGTACGTCTAGGAATGTGTCCCTGACCTGCTCCCCTTGAAGTTTGAGGGCTAGGATGCTACGGCAAGCTTCCAGTCGTACACCTGGTGACTCTTCGTAGTGGATAGCCCAGAGCAGGAGATCTGTCAGCTGGGGACTCACTTGCCCAATCTGTCCCAAAGCTGCAAAGGTGAGAGGACAGCATATTCCACTGTCACTGAAAAACTGCTTGTATCCTAGCATCCAGAAATAAATTCAGTGTTGCAAACAATATCTTCCTTTTTGAATGGCAGTTAATTACAATTAGAATTATAGGGCTAAAATTTTTTTAAATTTAAAAATGTAAGCTGAACACCAGTGGCTTTTTATGCCTGTAATTCTAGCTACTGAGGAGGTAGAGATCAGGAGGATTGAGGTTCAAATCCATCCCCGGGCAAATAGTTTGTGAGACCCTATCTTGAAACAACCCATCACAAAAAAGGGCTGGTGGTGGCTCAAGTGGCCAGAGCACCTGCCTAACAAATGTGAGGCCTTGAATCCAAGCCCCAGTGCTGCCAAAACAAACCTTTAAGGATAGGTTATAGTGAAATACTACTTCCAAAAATCATTTCCAAGAGGGGGGTGTCTTATCCCATCCTTGTCCATTAGGATGTAAACATGGGTAATTTGCCTATTTAGGGATGAGCTATGGGACAGATAACTTGGAAGATTAGCATGGTCACGGGTTTACCTAGCTGTGATTCTGCTAGGCATCTACCAAAGACCATATCAAAAAGAGAAGCAGTACCAAAGATCCTAAAAAGAAACTAGGAAAGTCAGAGATCAGGTTCTTAATCCTAAGCAGTGTTGAATCTGGTCTGACTTTTAGAAAGTGCTATAGTTGAAACCTCTGGCAAAAGCAAGGTGTAACCAGTAGTGGGTGCCTCCTTGGAATTTACCCTTAATTCTTTTGGCAGGACTGTCTCATCTGCCCTTTGCCTTAACATGTTTGACCTAGATTTAGATTCAGGATGCTAACCAAAAATTAAAAAGCAAGTCTTTCCCCTCCCAGGCAAGGACCTTCTGAGAAATTCCCACCCCCTTACTAGAGAGTTTCTGGGCCTTGTGTGTATTAGCATAGGGAAGATATTTAAAGTTGAGGCTTTGGAGCCATTATCCTGCTGAAATACCTCGAATGGCAAAAGCTTTGATTTTCCAGTAAGGATCTCTGTGCATCAGATTCAGGAGGCATTCAAGTACCTGGGATGAGCAAAAAAGTGTTAAGTGAGGAGAGCCAGCACTAGAATGAACTAGAAATAGGGACCCCACTTGTCAAGTGCTATAACTGAAAATGACCTATCACTTCTGCCTGAAGTACCAGCTTATACCTGCTCTCTGTGGATTTTTCTGAGCACATATATGGCCATACAGACTTCGGTGTGTGTATGTGTTGTGTTGTGTTGTGTTTCTGGGATGAAACTCAGAGCCTTGCTCATGCTGTGCATGTACTCTACTGATGAGCTACACCCCCAGTCCTAGAATTCTTTTGAATACTTCAATCAGGTTTTCCTTTAATAACTAGAGATTATGACTCCATTCCCTGGAGTTGACCCAAAAGCTTGTCAGCACCCAGGTAATGAGAAGCTAGTTAACTAAGGTGAGAACAAGATTTAGAGGAATACTACAGCATGAGGTTTAGCTGGTAGCTAAATGGCCCTTACTGATCGATGTGGCTCTGATCTCTTTCATTCTATGTCCTCAGAGAATGTTGAGTGTACTGTGCACAACATGGGAAGGTGATGCTCCCTTGTGGTCAGTCAGGAAAAATGAGAACATGTTTCCTTGACTCACCATTTTGTTCTGGATCTTCAGGGCACCTGCTGCCAAACAGGCTGCCTGCCGAACTGCTACGAAGTCATCAGAGAAGCAGTGCAGAAAGTTGGGGAGAAGTTTGGCGGTCATGAGCTTGAGTCCAGCTATTAGGGTGAGAGCCTCTACACGTTCCTGGGAATTTCCTTGACACAACTTAATCCTGTAAGGCACAAAAGGCTTTTATTTTCTCTCCTTAAACTTTCATGCCTATCAAATTCCCCCTCCTCAGGATAAAATTCTAGTTCTGTAGGCTCTCTACTATCTAGCCCCATCCTTTCCTATTGCCTTCTGCCCATTAAAGTAAATTTCATTTGGTAGAAACCACAGCTGTCTTATATACTTGAATCCTTAGTACCTTGCATATGCTAGGCACTCAACTGTGTTGAATGACTGAATAAAAGTAAGTGTCAGTTTTACCCTTTGTGACAGTCAAGTCTCTTCTCCACTGTTCTTCCATGTGTGATCCTTTTTTGGGCAATTATCTCCCAGTCTAAAATGACTTTTCAGTCTCTGAAACTTGGCCCTCTCCTCAACCCACGTTGTACTCAATTTTTCGATAGCAGTTGTATATGCCATTTGTTTTAATATGATTTGGTATTTTTAATAAATCACTTTTGTATCTTGCCCGTGTTCATCGGAATTGTGCCATACTTTTAATCTTTCACAAATACCCAAAACATTGCCTTGCACCTAGTGGGCATTCAAGGTTTCTTTCCCTAGCCATATCATTAATTTCTGTAGGGAATGAACTGTTTGCAGTGGGATGTAGTACAATGCTGAACATACAAAGGAGCTCAACAAGTGCTGGCTGGCTGGATCCTATATCCCCTAAATGTTTCTCAGAAGAGTTTTTTTCATGCTGACCGCTCCTAGGTCTTACCTGATTGTGTCATGCACCTCTTTCCCAAGACTCATTTGCCCAAGTGCTTGGGCAGCTGCTTGCCTTACTTCCTTATTCCAGTCATTCCACATTAGCTGGATCAGCTTACTTTTCATATCCTATAAACAGGTATAATAATTAGCTGTCATTTTTTGAATGTTAATTTTGTCTTGGTATTGGGCTGGTTTTTTTTCTCTCCTTAATCTCCCAAACAACCCAGTAAGGCAGTTGTTAGTACTGTTTTCAATTCACACAGTGGAGGCTTTGACACTGGTGAGTACTAGAGCCAGGACTGGAACCAGGTGTTTCCCAAGCTCATCCTTTAAACTTTTTAATAGTGTCGGGGCCAACATAATCTATGTGAGAGACTTAAAATTTGAAAGTGATACTTAAGGGGGTGACCAGTTCCTTCCAGTTTGACTTTTTTATTTTAGTACTGAAAGTCCCATGTCCTGGACAAACCAGGACAGTTGGTCACCCTATCAGTGTACTTCTTTTATGGGAGGAGGGGGAAGATGTTACTACAGTTGTAGTTAATGACGGTGTAAATGTATACAAGCAATTCTCCCTGTCTGAAACCTCTCTCTTTTCACCCCTACCTGATATCAGATTATGCTGAGCATTCAGAGAATCAGCAGAGGCACTTACTTAGTTGGGTTGTTGGGTCATTCAAGTCAGTGCTTCTCAAACTGTGATGAAGGACAATTTTAGGGCTGGGGTTGGATGGAACTATGTTACTGATATTTTTATAAAGTGTGTTAAAATTGAAGTAATGTCAAATTACTAAAAACAAATCTATGAGCTCTTTCTCTTTAGTTTTTGTGCTTATTTCATTGTGACTTCCTTACAGTTGATGGATTGTCACCACACTGAGATGCACCTGGCTTAAGTCACAGAGGGACATGTTGATATTTGAAAATAGTTCTGGGTTATGAGTAGGAGGTAACAAGGTGGCATCAGAGATCTATCTGGTGAGAATGAGATACTAGATAGCAGCAAAAAGTAAAAGATTTCCTAACCAGCCTTGCTGAGGCTTTCTATTCTGGAAGCAAAGCAAGAGGCTTACCAAGCAGACATTTCCATTGATCTGAGCAAAAGCCTGACAGGCCACAATCCGGTCCTTCCATTGACAGCTATTCAGCTCCACAGCAAGCATGGTATGTATCAGGGTCTGGAAATGGAAGATTGTATGGATGTTTATGATCACTTTTTAGAGACACGGGAACCTTGAAGAAGTTACATCCTAACATGACATCCAAACATAATTAATGTCCCAAGGTCATGAGATATACATGTCCCTATAAGGGACAGAGTAGGTTTATAAGAGGTGGGGCATGCCTTCCTCTAAGCCAACTGACTCTGGGATCATAAATCGAAAACAAAATACAGATTTAATAATCTGAACAGAAAACAAAGGCTTTCAAACTTCCTGACTTTTAACTATTTTTATCCCTAAAATGATTTGTATATGCCTCAAACCTTGTGAGTTTCACATTTCTATGTGAGTAAACACATAATTTAGGTCTTGGATGGTTTTCAATGGTAAACCTTCTATCAAGAAGCAAATTCTATGGTTAAAGGCATGGCTCAAATGGTAGAGCACCTACCTAGCAAGTGCAAAGCCCTGAATTCAAATCCTAGTATTGCCGAAAAAAAAAAAGCAATTTCCAAATTTCACAACTCTTCTTTCATATTGTTAGAAACCATTTGCAACCTACTACTCACTTTCCTCAGCCATCTGGTGTCACATCTCCCTGTATATACCTCTAAGCCACCTCAGTGAATTTTTACCTATCTTGAGATTATCCTACCCAACCACCTGCATTTTGGATTCCTTACATTCACTGACTGCAAAGACCCAATTAGTTCTCAAAATGTAGTTTTCTTTTCTGACCCTATAATGGATACATACTGTCTTCCCACTGAGATATCTCAGGAGGATACAAGACTGCTGCTTGGTGTCTTCATTATTCTTGTTAAACAACTGGTAGAGGATCCTCTTAATCACTGGGTAAGTGGCAACACCTTCCAGAGCCAAGCACTGGGCTGCAGCCCAGCTGTCCACACTATTACCTGCCACAGGTAGGTTGAAAAAATGAGTCCAAAATAATCTGTTTTCTCCCAGAGAGAACAGCCTTTGCATTGTACCCAAGATTGCTATCTTCCCTGTGACCCACTCAATCTATAAATCCAATCCATATTTAAACCACATTTAAATGGAACATACCAAGGTTTTGTTTTCAGTAGTGGGGTTTGAACTCTGCCGAAATCCAATTCCATATTTAAACCACATTTAAATAGGACATACCAAGGTTTTGTTTTCAGTAGTGGGGTTTGAACTCTGCCTCATGCTTGTTAGACAGGCACTCTACCACTTGTGCCACTCCACCAGCCCGTTTTTGTGCTGGGTGTTTTTGGGATAGGGTCTTGTTTTTTCCCTGGGCTAGCCTTTTACTGTAATCATTCTGATCTCTGCCTCCCTACTAGCTAGGATTATAGGCATGAGCTGCTGGCACTGGGCGCATATCAAAATACCAACTGAAAGGCTTAACCTGAAAAATGAAATCCTAAAAGTTATTGTTAAGTAACAGAGCCATAAGGCACTTCTGACCAAGCTAAGAGTTGCATTTGTTTCTCCCCTAGTGATTGGGGAGGTCAGAGTGGGAGGTATTCCTAAGACAGGAATTAAGCAGAAGGCCAAACTAGTTAGCCAGTCAGCTTCTCTGTCTTCTACCTGCCCAAAGGCAGGGATAGCCCATCTCTCAGCAGTTAGGTACCTTGGGCTTCTCAGCTGACAGCCTTTTTGATTGCATAATTCTGACGGTGCCTGGCCATTACTGTGTGCAATGGAGAAAATGGAAGCATGATGTGTTCAGAATGTTTTTATTGTTACATCATCTTTTCAACAAAAAAACTAGACTTAGACTGGTGGAGTGGCTCAAGCAATAAGAGTGCCTGCCTAACAAGTGTGAGGCCCTGAACTCAAATCACAGTGCTGTAATAAAAAAAAAAAAAGTAGGTTAAATAAGAGGCATTTTGAGATGCAGTGCTAGGGATTAAAGCCAGGCCCTTGTACATGTTAAGCAAGCTCTCTACAATGGAGCTATATCCTCACCTCCCAAATTTTTGATTAATATGGTTTTTTTGGCTTGCTTGCTTTTTTTTTTTTTGGTAGTACTGGGGTTTGAATTCAGGGCTTGCTAGGCAGGCCCTCTACCACTTGAGCCACTCCATCAACTCTATTTTTATATTGGGTTTTTTTCAAAATAGTGTCTCGAGAACTATTTGCCTTGGGCTGGCTTCAAACTGCAATCTTCCTGATCTTTGCCTCCTGGGTAGCTAGGAATACAGGCGTGAGCCACCAGTGCTTGGCAACATGTATTAATGGGGTTCAGTGTGATATTTCAGTACATGCTTATAACATGCACAGATCAAATCTAGCCTTCCTTTATCCTCTGCCTTCCTCCCCCCACACACACCTCTGCTAATCAATATTCTACATTCAGATCAACTTTTTTTTTTTAACTTCTGTATATGAGAGAACATGCAGTACTTGTCTTTCTGTTTCTGGCTTATTTCACTTAACAGGTTGTCCAGTTTTATTATAAATTTTAGGGCATGGTTTCTAATCAAATGCATTTATGAAAAGCTTAGCCCAAGTACCTGTTTTCATGGTACCTGTTTTGTAAAAGAATGGGCGAGGAACTAAATTCTGAATGTTCTAATATAAACCCGAATCCAATGCAACACAGAGCATGATAGTGAAAAAGAAAAGACTAGGAAAGCTGATGTGAGATATCCCCTAGCACATAGCCCCAGGTCAGAAGTAACAGTGTTACTCACCCTTCACAAGGGCAGTCTTCATGATGTCCTGGGCAAGGGGATTATGTGACTGTATTGCATATTGACATATTGCTGCTGCCATCCTCACGTTGGCATTTTTGTCACAAAGAGCAGCTTCCAAGGTAGGCTGTAGAGCCTTTGGCAAGTCCTGGATAAGTGGGACTTTTATAGTCCCCTTGTCTGTGATCAAAAGAAGGCCAGGTAAGAGTATTATTAGCCTTCTGCTTTTCTCTCAAACACAGCTTCCTTCCCAAGGCTACATGGTGACCTGCTCAGTCTCAAGTTGCAGGTGTTTACTGTTTCTTAATATAATCACAGTTCAGCTGAGCCCCTATGATGGGCAGGATTTTATGCACAAGGGATTAGAGTTCATGTCTGTGCTGCTATGCCAGTTCTTGATCCTTTGTCATCAGGCCTCTGGTATTGAAGCCAAAGACAGATGTTTCCAGCTAGGCTATGATGACCTTCACTATTAATTTTAGTGACAAAAATCAAACTGTTTAGCTTTATATTGTTACAATAATAGAGTTATATTTAGGTGGTGCTCTGCCATTTTCGTATTGGCTCATTCAGTCTTTCAACCCTGGTTAAATTAGACAAGGTAGGTATTCTTCCAGAACTTACCAAGGAATCTTTTAGGTTTACTATAAACCTTCAGATTCCCAGACTCTAGGCTACACATTCTTCAGGAGGCTATAGGACAGAAGCACAATTTGTCAATAGGGCAAAGTGTCAGGCATTCTTTTTGGCCAGAGTTCTTGAGGCTGCCTAGCATTTCAGTGTTCTTGGACAGCTCAGGAGCATGGAGTTTACTGTAGGTAAACTTAAGCTCAGTAGGTGCTAGTGTCTGTTGTAGCAACTCCATATAGTTTTAGGATCCACAAAGGGCATGCCTATGATAAACTGCAGCATTTAGGGAGGCCTAAAGTATGGTGTCTGTCAGCTATTTATATTTCATTTATAATTCTTTCCAGTCCCATGTGTTTTATCAGGGGTTTTTATTGTTGTTATTGGATTAGGTTTGAACTCATGGCCTTATGCTTGAAAAGCAGGCACTCTACTGCTTGAGGCATACCTCCAGTGTGTTTTTGCTCTGGTTATTTTGGAGAAGGGGTCTCGCAACGTATTTGCCCAGACTGGCCTCAAATCATGATCCTCCCTATCTCAGTAGTTAGTATTATCACTGTGATAATACTAGGATTATCAAGTAGCTAGGATTATCCAAGTAGCTAGGATTATCACTGTGAGCCACCAGCACATGGCCATTTTTGTCATAAGTTTTTTTTGGTGGTACTAGTGTTTGAACTCAGGGCCTTGTGCTTCCTAGGCAGGCATTCTTCCACTTGAGTCACACCCTCTGCTCAGAAATCAGAAATTGTCATCTCATCTGCATTGCTGATAAGCTGTGGGTATTCAGGCCATTCTCTGGGCCTTTTCCACATTTGTAAAATGGTCTTGGATAAGATAAGTTCCATGGTCCTTGCCAGTTCAGATGTTCTGCGGTTTTGTGAAATTTCAGATGTTCCCAAGCAGCTCAGCCCTAGCTCTCACCTGAGTCCCTCTGGTCAGTGGTAAACCGGGGCCTTTCCAGAGCAGCTGTGGCACATGTGATGATGGCTTGGATCCGAATGTCATCATACAAGGCTACCAAACCCTGCATAAGGTTCTCCAGTGTCTCATGGCGCCACTCAATGACTATGTCACAGTGAGGGAAATAAGAAGAGAACCACTTGGTGAGGGTTAGATATTGTGCTATGAGCTGGTGACAAGAAATCCCCTTTCCCCAGGATAATTCAAGCAAAACATTAGTTCAGAAGAATAAAGGATTCAGAGAAGGGCTCCTTGAAGTTATTTCTTTGATGATCCATGTACCTCTCAGGTAGTTGCCCCTAATCTCATCCTATATCCTATTGCTCTTTGCTTAAATAATTTTTCATTGTAATCACTTGAAAAATAAAAAGTCAAAAACGGTGGTTGAGCCAGGTGCTGGTGGCTTACACCTGTAATCCTAGCTACTCTGGAGGCAGAGATCAGGAAGATTGTGGTTCAGAACCAGCCAGGCAAATAGTTTGCAAGACACTATCTCAAAAAAACCTACAACAAAACAGGGCTGGTGGAGTGGCTCAAGGTGTAGGCCCTGAATTCAAACCCCAGTACTGAAAAAAAAAAAAGTGGTTGACTAGACATAATGGCATACATCTATAGTTACAGCTATCTGGGAGCCTGAGGCAGAAGGATCACTTGAGCCTCTGAGTTCAGGACCAGCCAGAGCAACATAGCGAATCTCTCATTTATATTGAGTTACTTTGATGTTTAAAAGTGTTAACTAGACAGAGTGGTTTACAAAATGCCTAACAAGATAACAGAGGTTCAGAGGGCTAGTAGAGGGTTTGTCTAGCAAGATCCAGGCCCTGTGTTTAATCCTCAGTATAATGAATGAATGAATAGAAAGTTTGGAGCTGGTGGAATGGCTCAAGTGGTAGAATGCCTGCCTAGCAAGCATGAGGTACTGAGTTCAAACTTCAGTACCACCCCCCCAAAAAATTTAAGTTTGTATACCAAAGCATATTGAAAAATAAAAAAGATAAAATTCAACAATTGTTAACACCCCTCCACCCATGGAGCCCAGAGCCTTGTGCATGCCAGGCAAGTGCTCTGCCACTCTGCTCCATCTGCAGCACAACAAATGTTAACTATGTGGTTATCATTTTCCAGGTGTGATACTTTTTTTTGGCGGGTGGGCATACTGAACTAGTTTCTTTTGATCTCTATATGTCCAGTGCTTAGGCACCATATTTTGACTTTTCCTTCATGCATCATTTATTGAGCATAATGTTTCAGAAATCCGTAAGACAGGATTCTACTGCCTAGGAAGATTTCTCAGTATAGTGAATTTCTACAAATTATTGAACTAATACTTGTCCAAGCAAAAAAGAATATAGGTGGGTGTAACCTACTATATGAAAGGCTCTATCTAGTCCAGCCTTAATGAGGCAACCAGATTTTTATATTTCACAAGAGAAGGATGGATTTTTTTTTATAGTACTGGAGCTTGAACTCAGGGCCTTGAGCCACTGCACCAGCTCTTTTTTTGATAGGTTTTTTGAGCTAGGGTCTCTTGAATTATTTGCCCAGACTGGCTTTGAACCGAGATCCTCCTGATCTCTGCCTCTGGAGTACCTAGGTTTACAGGTATGAGCCTTTGGCACCTGTCTAGAAGGATGGATTTTCAAAGATTGGGAAACAGTAGTCCAAGGTGAGATCCTCAGAAATATGCACTGTTATCTCAGGCCCTCCCTTAACTTACTTAGTGCCCAGTCAGTCTTCCACTCCTTTAGCATCCTCTGTAGAACTGCCAGTTCCCAAGTCACATCCTCCTTCAGTGGACTTGCCTGCTTCTTCAGTCTCCTGGTCCTGATGGTCATGTCCTCCTCACCCACCTGCAGCAGCAGGTCTTTGACCGGTGTGGGCAAAGCAGTCCAGCGCAGGGCTCCTTTCACAGGCTTACAAGCTGTGCAACCAGGCAGCATGAGTTCTCACCTGATTGTACCAGGCCTGCTACATAGTTGTCCCAGCCAGCATCCCCCCCGTTCCTATTAACACCAAACCAAAGTTCTTTGTTTTGAGACATATACAAACCTTTTTCTAAGTGTAATAAATCCTCAGAAACATAAATATGTTTATAAGGTTTGCTTATGAAATTCGGTATTTGCAATTTAGAGTGTAATTGACATTTATTAAGTTTTCTTTTTTGTTGGTGGTACTAGGGTTTGAACTCAGGGCCACATGCTTGAGGTACTTTCACTGCTTGAGCCATTCTGCCAATCATGAATTTTCTTTTTACTATTTTTCACTTGAGGGAAGGAATTTTAAAGATTTTTAACATCCCTTGAGTTTTTCTAGTTATGCTAAATAGCAGTTAGAAATTTGAAACTTAATCCCAGCACTTGAGAGCCTAAAGCAAGATTTCAACTTAAGGGGCCTGTATGGATTTCATTGTGAGTTTGAGACCAGCCTGGGCTATATGGAGAGATGCTGACTCAGACAACAACAACAACAAATTGAGAACAGAAAAAAAATTTTTTTAAAATATGTAGAGAGTTTATATGTAGAAATATAAAAATGGTAATAGTTGTTATGCTTTCTGGATTTTAATGTTCTCTGTGGTGCTGAACAGATTCAGAAATTCTCTTAGAAGCTGTGTGTTAAACTGGTCATGGTGGTACATGCCTGTAATCCTAGAATTCAGGAGGCAGAGATAGGAGGATCTTGAGTTTAAGGCCAGCCTGGGTTACATGGTACTGTCTTTTTTTTTTTTTTTCTATTTTTTATTTTTACACAACTGGTGCTTGAACTCAGGGCCTCATGCTTGCTAGGCAGGCCCTCTACCACTTGAGCTACCCCACCAGCCCATGATACTATCTTAAAAACAAAAAATTAAAAGTAGAAAGAAAACAGAACAGGAAGGGAAGATAGATCAAACATTTCTAGAATTATTAAACTTGTTATTTGCCACATTTACTATCAGTCTCAGGTTCTAATTTTGTCACTGTCAGCCATTTCTCTTTTTTCCAAAATTTCATTCCAACTGTTAACATCTTTAGATTTGCTCTGAATCAGTTCTTTCCTTTGAGGAAGAAGGGCAATAACATTTCTTTCTTCTAATGTAAAGAGTCCTGTGAGATTCCCAGGTAGTTTAGCAAACATGCCTATACAGCACATATTCTCCAAGTGGTCCTACCCCCATGAAATCATGAGGGCTGAGTCTCTCTGCTGAGCCACTCCACCAGCCCTGGAAAACTCTAGATACTGTGATGAATTAAAGGCTTTCTAATAACAAGTACACTTATCTTGAGAATTTTCATCATTTTAAAGAGATTGTCACCTAAGTTTTTCAATTCAACCAAAATGGGGAGGGAAAAGAAAAAATCTGCCCTCATATTTATTCTCAGGAATTTTTTTGTTTCCTCCAACCAGGTTCTTTCATACTTAACTCCATTCCCTGAGATTTCCTTGAGATGACCAATAGAATGGTTATAAGAAGGTATGTTTGTATATATTACTATTCTGACTTTATTTCCCCCAACTCAATCTCAAATACTTTGTGTGTGTGAGTGTGTGTTTGTGTATGTGATATTGGGGTTTGAACTCAGGGTCTCTTGCTTGCGAGGTAGGTGCTCTACCACTTGAGTCATGTCCCCAGTCCCTCAAATACTATTTTAAAAGGTTTGATGTGAAATTCCTATAGCATCAACTCATTAAATGACCTATCCTGGGAAGGAGGGCAAGTATCCAACACTACTGGGGAGGAGTGTCTATAGGCAAGCCAGGTGGGCAGGAGAAGCCTCTATGAATTCAGAAGGAACCATGGACAATTTTTGTTGTTGTTGTTGAGACAGGATCTCACTGTATAGCCCAGGCTGGCCTCACACCTGACTGGATTGTGTGTGTGTGTGTGTGTGTGTGTGTGTGTGTGTGTGTGTGTGTGTGTGTGTGTGTGTGTGTGTGTGTGTGTGTATGGTGGAAGGGAGAGGTTGGGGTTTGAACTCAGGGCTTTGCACTTACAAAGAAGGTGCTCTGCCACTTGAGCCACATTCCGGTCCATTTTGCTCTGGTTATTTTGAAGGTGGGTTCTCACAGAACCTCTTGCTTGGGCTGGCCTCAAATGGCTTGGGCTGGCTGTTCTCCTGATTTTAGCATCCCACATAGCTAGGATTACAGGCATGAGCCACCAGTGCCTGGCTAGATTTTTTTTTTTTTTTTTAGAGCTTTACTGAGGTAGAATTCACATATGATAAAATTCATCCTATTCAAGTGTGAAATGTAAGATGAGGGGCCTGGCCCAAGCCATAGAGTGCTTGCAAGTTCAAGGCACTGTGTTCAATCCCCAGTATCACAAAACTAAAATAAAATGTACAGTATGATAGGTATAGTCAACTGCAACTATAATCACTATTTAGTTTTAGAATATTTTCCTCATCCTCAAAAGAAGCCGCATTCCTTCATCTCTTCAGCTCCTGGCAACTATTAGTCTACTTTCTGTCTGTACAGATTTGCCTGTTCTCTGCTTGAGGCCAAGCAGAATGGAGTTTGCTTTTGTGGGAGGTAGCAGAGTAATAATAAGGTTTGGGTTTGTACAGCAGTTAAGGTTTATGAAATATATTCACAAAATCACAAAATTATCTAAGCATGGCAAAAGTGTCCTACTATAGGAACGATTAGTGTCTCTCTCTTTTTTTTTTTTTTTTTTGTGGTACTGGGGTTTGAACTTAGGGTCTTCACCTTGAGCCATTCCACCAGCCCTATTTTTGTGATTGTTTTTTTTCAAGATAGGGTCTCGAGAGCTTTTTGCTGGGGCTGGCTTCAAGCTGGGATCCTCCTAATCTCTGCCTCCTGAGTAGCTAGGATTACAGGCATGAGCCACCAGCACCTGGCTAGTGTCTCTCTTAATGAAGGCAGCTGAAGCTCCAGAAGTTACTTACCAAGATGCAACTTGAGGCTTTGCTTGGTACTTTCTCTATTGCATTATTGCTGTGATCCTCAACAAAGGAAATGAATGTGTATTGGAGAAGCTGCCTATAGCTGCCTTTGTCAGCAGCTCCTTTATCCTAGTAGCCATTGCCTATCCAGGCAGCACTAGAGACAGAGGTTTGGGGCTGGTGTGAAAAAGAATGTCTCACTACTGCTGTTAGTGTCTATACTCCAGAGGACTCATCTGAACAGGGACTGCAGCAAAGAAAAGAAAGAGTCATGGGGAATGGAGACATCATCTGTTTGAGGATGGGCACATTTTGTTTCACAAGCTTATTTCTTGGTCACCTTCTTTCCCACTACCATCTTTGTCTTACAGATGAAGAATAATATACTTAGGAATCAGAAACTTAAAGGAAGATCCTAGGGCTTGAGGCACAAATGAGCTTGAGTGTGGAGTGGGAGCATAGAGCTCCCTCTCCCCAAAAGGAATAGGGCACAGTAAGAAGTTTGGTGTACTTCACCTGAAGCATTAAGATGAGACCTGTGTTATTGGTCCTAAACTACTTGGTGACACCCAAGTTATATCTAATTCCAACTGAATGTATGGTCCACTTCCTACTTACAAGGCTCCTTCCACATACAGTTAGTATTTTATAATTTTATGAGATGATTTTTAGTTGGGAGTTTCCTCATTGCTGGTAGTGCCCCCAGCCCATGAGCTAGGAACCTTAAAGTAGTAGTCACATTTCCATCATTACTTCACTCCCACTCCCCATTATTGGCTTCCTGCTTACGTGCTTCAGGAACAGGCTGGGAACTCCACTTTTCTGGTGTTTCAGGGAAGACCTTAGATAGCTGCTTATTGTACTGATTCAAGTTTTCCAGGAGAATCTGGTCCCTCTTTACACCAGTCTGGTGGATGATCTGTACTTCATCTGTGAACAAAGAAACATTGAGTCTCTTTTTCCCTAATCTAGGCCCCTAGGATCCTTGTTGCTCAAAAAATTCACAGATGGTGGCCTCATAGAGAAACTTCATAGAGGCCTAGAAGCCAAGGATGACATTTTCCATCAGTAAGGTAGAACTTGTCTAACTTAATAGGTATTGTCTCCCATGAAAAGCTAGATACTGAAGAAGGGGTACTTAATTAATCATGAATACCTTCGAATAGTTTTTTTTTGGTGAGACTGGGTTTGAACTCAGGACTTGTAAACTATTTGCCCAGGCTGGCCTCGAACCATGATCTTCCTATCTCAGCCTCCCAGGTAGGCATGAGCCTCACAGGCGTAAGCCACCAGTGCCTGGCTTTGTTAAACCCATTTAGAAGACCCATATGATCCATAAGAAGACCATATGATCCATATTCATATTTGGGAAAAGAAAAAAAGAAGACCCAACTGATCCAGGCTTGTAATTCTAGCTACTTGGGAGGCAGAAATCAGGAGGATCATGGTTCAAAGCCAGCCTCAGGCAAATAGTTCTTAAGACCCTATCAAAAAAAAAAAATCACATAAAGGGCTGTCTAGCAAGTGTGAGGCCTAGAGTTCATACCCCAGTACCAAAAAAAAAAGACCAAGCTGACAGCAGTTTAGAAACAAGATGGGGTGTCAAAGAAGAACAGATCTAGATCATGTACCTTGGAAGCACAAGCATCTAAAGTAGATTGCAAGGTGGAAGGGGAAGATAATGGGCATTTATTGAACACCTCATGTGCCAGCCATTGGGCAAGAAACACTATAATTGTGTACTCAAAGTGCATTTTTGTTAACATTGTTTTACAAATAAGGTTTCCAACACTAGGGGATTATGTAGTTTGCTGAAGGTTACTAAAAAGGGGCTTGGCCAAGACTTAAGCCCAAAGCTTTGACTCCAAAGCTTGTGATTTTTTTTTTCCAACATAGCACCTCAGCACCCAAGTGAGGGAAGGGAAGAGAGTGGACAGAGAAGAGCTAGAGTGTTCCCAAAGTTAACTCTTGTCAACATTACAGCCTCATCCTCCACTCCCTCCTTAATGGGATGAAGGGGAAAGAGAGAACTATTTGCTCTCCACCAGATAATCAATGCTGCCCAACCCCCTGTAACTCCTATGCTAGTGCCCGGAGGATGTACCATGAACACCCTGGGCATCCAGGGCCTCTCATCCCCAACCATGCCTGTTCCTATCTCCAGCTGCCCCCACCTCCTTGGTCCATGCCCGCCTCTGCCCCCAAACAGGACTCAGTGCTATTATTACCAAAGTAAATCTCCTGCTCAAAGGTGTTGTCTGTAGAGTAAGCAAATTCTCCAGCTTTAGGATTCACCTGTCGGAAGTAACTCTGCTTTGGGGATTCCACGGTGCTTCTCTTTTCCCTGATATCCTCAGCCGTCATATTGTTGTCAGGAATGATTTCAGATGTCTGTGCTTCTGGGGAGTAACCAGGCAATCTTGGCAGGGATAGAGAGGGGAAAAGGAAGGGTAGGCGTTGCCTCCCCCCTTTCCATTATATCTGTAGCTTACTACAGCCCACTAAAGCTCAGCTCCTACACATGAGCATCTGAAGAACACCTGTCCCCAAGGTGTCAGTTGAATATGGACCTATGGAAGGGCCTGTCTTCAGCTATCCCTCTGTCCCCACTGATGGAGCCACACCACAGCAGCCACTGAACAGCACAACCCTTTTTTAACACTGGTTCCATTAAAGGTTGCATAGACTCGGGAAGGGAAACTACCTCCTACATTACCTCATTCTATTTAGTATGTGTGTGATTACTTAACATCTGTCCACCCAGTGAACTGGCCATAAGCTCCTTAAAGAGGTACATGTGTCCTTTTATGTTGTATTTCCAGTACTTTGAAGTCTACTTGAAAATAGCAATCTGTATTTGTTCAGTAAATGAATAAATAAATAGTTCCACTTCTTTTTAGTTCCCTTTGGGAAATCAGGGATATTATAATAGCTCTATTCTTCACTCAGGCTACAAATGAGAAGGAAGAAATCTGAGAAATGTGGAGTCATCTTCTCCTCTTGGGTTGCATAGTTCTCTGTCCTGTAGCTGGTCTGGTTTGAAGTCAGTGACATAGTCTCCTTACTCAAAGTATGGCAGGACCAAACCTCAGTGCCATGAGGCGTACACTTTCTTCCCTCTCAGCATACATCCATTTCTGGGAGCTCTTAGGAGGTAACTGGATCAGCACTCTGAGAACTCAATTTGCTTTCTGGGGATGGCTGGGGATTGAACCTTTTAAGGCAGCGGTTCTCAGCTGAGGTTGATTGTGTCCTTTAGAGACATTGGCAGTATCTTTGTCATAAACTGGGGGAGGGTGCTTTTGGGCATCTAGTGAGTAGAAGCTACCAGATGCTGCTAACATCTTATAACGCATAGGGCAGCCCCCTGCAACAAAAAATTGTCAACTCAGCATGTCAGTAATGCAGAGGCTGAGAATTTTTTTTTTTTTTTTTTTTGGAGACAGGGTCTCACTATATAGTCCAGGTTGACCTTGAACTCATTATGTAGCCCAAACTGGCCTCAAACTCATGATCCTCCAGCTTCTGCCTCCCAAATGCTAGGATTACAGGCATGAATCACCACTCCTGACTGAGAAACATTATTTTGAGAAGCTCTCAACAGGTTGGTGATGGAGAAAGCATGATGGGAAAGTACATTCTGAAGAACGGAATGTGGGCTTGGGATGTAGCACTTGCCTAGTGTGAGGCCCTGGATTCAATCCCTGGTAGTGCAAAAAATAAGGAGTTTGAACCCACCTGGGAGTCCTTGAAGGGGAGCCATGGGTTCTCAAAGGCACACCTGAGGCCTGGGCAGCCTACCTGTAGTAAACAGGAAGCAGCAGCTCGGGCTTCTTTTCCTCCTGAGGGGGTGTGATGATTTTTTGATCCTCAAACTCTGCAGTTTCTTCTGCTTCCAACTGTTTCAGAAGCTCCAGATCACTGGCAGAGGAGAGCTCATCCCGAATGTGGCTCCAGTCATACTGCTGGCGCAAGAAGCTCTGCCACTTGTTGGGCAACACGCCAGATCTCACAGGTTGCTTACTCTGGATCCATCGGGCCGTGCGCTTGTTCAGCTTTCCCAGCACAATGGCCTCCCATGCTCTGACTTCCTTCTCACAAGGTGGAAGCCAAGCTTCCCTTTCCTCCAGGTTCACATCTGGAGATAGTGGCAGCTCTAGCTCATCTGAAGCCCTGCAGGGACGCCGGATTCGGGGGAGAGATGCTTCCTGGACCACATTTGCTGGCTTTGATTTCTTCAGCTTTTTTTTAGTCTTGGCAAAACTTTCTGTCTTCACAGCCTGGGAAGTGTTCCCTTCTGAGGGACCTGAGGAACGCAGGAACTTGAAGCAGACAGGTTTCTCAGGTTGGGCCTTCCTCATCTGGTGAGACTGGATGATGTTATCTGTGTTGTAGATGTGGTTAAAGCTGTACTGGCTGTAAGGCATGTTGGGCAGCCCCCGCTGCCATCCCACCTCCTGAGAGAAGGAAAGGTTGGCAGCAGCCTTTTTCAGATACTGGTTCTTGAGATATGCATAATGCTGTGGGCTGAAGTGGAAGACTGGCGGCACACTGGAGACCGAGGCACACTCCTTGTTCCTCTGTTTTGAGTAGTGGAAGGTCATGCCCCATCCTAGCTGATCGGGTAATGACTGAGTGCCACAATTGGAGGCAAAGGTCTTCCTTTTCTGGGTTCTGGTCATGTTTTCCATCAAATACCCACTTCCACACAGTTGGTCCAGGTGGAAGGTGGACAAGCCAGCAGAAAGTAGAAGCCCATAGCAATAACTTGAAAGACAGCTGGGAAGAGGGAGTGAGGTGGGGTGGGAAAGCCATAGGATTTAGAAGAGCAAAAGAAATGGCACAACATTCTAAATTCTCAATATTTCTTGCATCAGACCCTTGCTTCTCATTCCCACATTTGTCCCCAAAGGTCAGGCCTCATCAAAGAGCATAGCTTTTCAACAGTACCCCATATTGCCAATTTTTCTTCAAAAAGTTCTTTTTCTCTGTTCCAAAGGCTTACAGATACCTAGTGGACCCATTGTCCTAGCTAAAGAAAAGCTGAAGCCACCTTGGGCAACATAATGAGAGTCCCATCTCAAAAAAAGAGTTCATGGCATAAAGTTCAAACAACCCAGCCTAATATGCAGGTTTCTCCATGAGCAGGACCCCAGCTTGACTTTGTCCTGACGTATAACCTCTGCTTGAGCCAGCCAGACCTTCTAGTTATTCTCTAAATATTCTTCCTTCTACATAGTGAGCTTCTGTACCTTCTACATGAAATGGCCTTTCTTCCATACTTGACACAAATTTTACCCATTCTTTCAGGCCCAGCTCAATTTCTTCCTAGCCTGTAACTCTTTCTTGACCTTTCCAGACCGCCTCATCATATCTGAATTTATAAGTCACTCCTACCTAGTGCATACCATTATTTTAACTGTTAATCCTGTGACAACTCACATTGTTAAATATTTGGTTCTCTAACTGTAGTGCCTAATGATGGTCTCCCATCTCTGCTGTACTTCAGACCATCTCGCACTTTTCCATATTGCTACATAGCCTTCACTGTTAAAGCTCTAGTATATTTTATCAAGTAGGTAAATCACTTTGGCTCTTCCTTAATTATTGGGCAGACTGTTTCCAGGTTTTAGCCAACATGGAAAACACTGTAGAGAGCAAATACTTTGATTTAACAGTTTGTTTTTTCCTTTGGAAGCACTCTCCTGGCTTTCATAATAATTGACAATTATGGATTACTTTGCTAAGGGCTCTATTGAAGGCGAGATTATGATCTTTGAAGAAGCTGAGGCTCAGAGAGGTAAGTAAATTGCTTCTGGTCACATGGCCCATAAATTGGGGAGTCAGGTTTCAAATCCAGACTGCAGAACTGTAACTCAGGAGCATTTAACCTCTGTGCCACTCTGGCCTTGAGTCAAGTTCTACTCCCACCCCTCAGTATGCTGGCCTTGCCACTCCCAGAGGCAGCTACCATTATTCCACATCCTTCTATCTCTATCATACCAACTTCTGCCCTTCCTGCACTGCACTAGGATACCCCCCACCCCAGATCTGGTTCTTTATCTTTCCTCGGTAACATGCTATACATACATACTTTCTCTCTAGTGTCTGATTTATCCCTCTTTTCAAGAGTGAGATCTGACCTCAAGAGTGATTTTTTTCTGTTAAGGGTCAGTTCCATCTAGATGCTTCTAGGCTAGAATTGATAACTTCCTTCAAATAAAGTCATATGGGATTATTTAGATATCTCTCCAGGATTTTTTGCACCTATAATTTAATTTGTCTCATAGCTTGACAACCATGAAGGCAGTGTGACCACAAGTATTTAAATAGTCGGTCTAGAAAAATTAGGGCAAAGGTAAAGGCCAGTCATGAGATACTTTTCCTGAAACAGTGCCTACTCACTGGTTGAAAATGAATTGTCAGATAAGAACACAATTAATGTTCTGACAAACATACATTGCTTTAATAAGACATCTCACATTCTTGCACATCAGTGTATAACTTGCTCCTAAGGCAGATGGCATTTTGATTCTAAACAGGACCAGGACCAGGTGCTGGTGGCTCACACCTGTAATGCTAAGTACTTGGGAGGCAGGGATCAGGAGGATTGCAGTTCCAAACCAGTCCAGACAAATAGTTCAAGAGACTGTCTCAAAAATAACTAACACAAAACAGGGCTGGTGAAGTGGCGCAAGAAATAGAGTGCCTGCCTAGGAAGCATGAAGCCTGAGTTCAAACACCAGTACCACAAAAAAAAAAAAAAAAAAGAAAAAGAAAAAACAGGATGTGGATAGGTTTCATTCTAAGATGATTACCTGTTCTCAGATATATGCCTTTTAACCTGTGACATAAGAAACCTTTGTAACAATGCAAACAACAACATATTATCAGTTATCATAAATTCTCAAGGGGTAGTTGGTATCTGATACAGTAGTTAATTAAGAAGGAAGGGAATTCATGATAGGTTTGTTTATCAAGACTGTCTCATTATGTAGCCAAGGCTGGCCTGGAACTTCTGCAAAAAGGCTTCCAAAGTGCTGGAATTACAAGCGTGTACCACCATACCCATCTATAGGTATATTTTAAAAGGAAGAAGAAAAGAGACGTGTCCTTCTGTGTCTAAGAGTCAGAAGACAGAGATGAGGCTAGGTTTTGCACTTCCCGGTCATGATACCTTGGGCCAATGATTTAATATTCCTGGTTTGCCCACCTGAATATAGAGATTCTGATATCTGTTCTGATTTAGTGTTGATAGGAAGCTCAAAACTGAAAACATGTGAATTTATTTATTTATTTATTTTTGGTGGGACTCGAGTTTGAACTCGGCTTTAGGCACACCTCCAGTCCATTTCTTTCTGGTTATTTTGGGGACAGAGATCTCAGGAACTGCTTGCCCGAGCTGGTCTTGAACCTTGAACCTCCCAATCTCAGACTCCCAAGTAGTTAGGATTACAGGCATGAGCCACCAGCGCCTGGCCAAAACTATTGTGTTTGTTGTGGTTTTTTTGGAAGTACTGGAGTTTGAACTCAGGGCCTTGTGCTTGCTAGGTAGGTGTTCTACCACTTGAGCTATGCTTCCAGCTCCTCAAAGTTCTTTACAATCTGCAAAGTATTACACAAATGTGAGGAATTACTATTGTTGGATAAAGGATGGACTATATTCCTTAGGAGGCAGGTCTCTGAGTTAGATGCACTGGGGAAGAATTTAGGGAAATTAGGGCACTAGAGATGCTTAGAGAGGAAGAAAGGATCTTTATAAAGTTCGGAGGGTCCAGTTAGCCATAACTAGAAGTTACCTGGACTAACATTGTGAGGCAAGACCATCACTTCCCACAGACAGTCCTCTGAAACCAAAGACAAAATGGCAGATCTCCGGTCCTTTTGTATACTAACAGCATAAGAAGAAAAAATAAAATCAATCCTAGTATAAGTGCAGACTAGGCCCCGTCATCCCAGTAAGCAGCATTGTATCTCTGCACTTCTAGAACTTCAGCTGGAAGGGCAGTCCACATGCTTCTAATTAAAACCTGGTGAACTATGTAGATCCTAACTGTAAAACATGAAAATCAAACTGAAGTTTCCTCTTGCTTTTGATATTTCATGGATATAAGAATCCAACTCAAGATGGGTCATACCTCAGAACTTCCAAATTTAGTTCCACTCTTCTGTTTACTTTCCAAATACAAATTTACTTACCCTCTCCACTCATCTGCTACCTTTACTGTTGCAAGTGGTTGAGGTAGGTTGAATAATGTGTTTCTCTGTTACTAAAACAGAAGAATGTGCCTTGGAGGAAAAGGATAAACAGTTATCTTCATGCATCATTTCCACCTATAGATTCTAATTCTGAAGATGTGAGGTGGGGTCCTAGAGCTGGTGGTCAGCTTCTGAGGTAGTTTCTTAGATATGGCTAAGGAACCTCCTGCATCAAGGTCATCTGAGGAGCTTGTCTCCTGTGTCCCACCTCCGGAACATTGCTTCAGTAAGCTGCAAGTGAGGCCTAAAAAAATCTGTATTTTAACAAGTTCTTGGAGGGTAGTATACACATTAAATTTATAGAAGCCATGGCCCCAAAGGGTATCAGTGGAGAAGTGAAATGCAGTTCTCTTCAGATCCTGTTTGACCTTGGTTGGGTAGAGTATCATGATTATGGAAGGAAGGAATGTTGTAGATCAAGCCAAAGTTATCTTGGACTGCCGTTAGCCCTTTCTCATAGCTATTTGTAATCATCCTCTGTATCTGACCTAAAATCCTGTGATTTCTAGATATATCTCTTGGAATATGTCACCAAGCTTGACATACCTCTAGCTTCTACCAGTCTTAAAGGTGAGAATGTGATAAAATAACATCTGGATCCTATAGATTTTTCTCTCTGCTGTAGTTCATCCACCTGATGCTCCTACCAATGTAATTGGTAAGTGTACTAACTTAAAACTTTCTTTTGTTCTGCAACTACAAAAGCTGGGTGTGGTGGTGCACATCTGTAATCCCAGCACTTGGGAGCTGAGGTAGCTTCCTGCCTCACAAGTTTGAGGTCTGCCTAGGCTATGTAACAAGACCGTGTGTAAAAACAAAACAAAAACCTCATGTAACCTCTTTTACAGTAGTACATGTCATTCAGGGTAACCTGAATCCACGTTCCCAGGCCATGATCACTCATATTTGGCTCAGAATAAACTATTTTCTTATTTCCTTTATTTATTTATTTATTTATTTTTGAGATAGGGTCTTGCAAACTGTTTGCCCAGGTTGACTTTGAACCACGACCCTTCTGATCTGTGCCTTCTGAGTAGCTAGGATTACAGGCCTGAGCCACTGACACCTGGCTCTTATTTCCTTTAAAGCAGAGTTGTGATTTTACAGTGGCAGTGCTCAGGAGGTTGAGGAAGGAGGGCCTCAAAGCTTGGTTAATGAGGAGAGCAGGGTGAAGGAATGAAGCCTCTTAACCTGGCTTGTTTTAAATCCCCTTCTGCCTCCAGTCTCTCCTCCAAAAGTTCCCATTTGTCCCCTTACTTTGTAGTTTCCATTTCTTACCAAGCATTCACCTGGCTATTCAGCTGCCTCCAGAGATGACTCTGGAAACACCATAATGATGATCTAACGTTTTCATCTCAGAGAGTTCCAAAACTGGGACCCAGATGAAGAGACTTGATAAGATCACAGTCCTGGTAGGTTTCTGAATACTGACCCTTTTGACACTGACTGAATCCAAAGTCTTTTTCAGCTACCTCAAGCTGCCCCTTACTGGTCAGCTGATGCTAATGAACGCCTTTCAGATCAGGGTAACACTGCAGTGTTTTGAAATTACCTTCAAAATGGCCTCTCAAAGCACAGTCCTTTACTAAAGGGAAGCAAGATTCCATGTCTTAAACCTTCATTGGTTTCTTAGGTTCCAAAGCTGTTTATATTGATCACCAAGCAACCAATTCTTCAGAATTCCAAAAATCCACTCACAGAAACTATGGGTTCAACTGGAGGCATCTTTAACTATTTAATAAAAGTGTTCTTAGTATCCTTTTTGGTGTTTATTCTTTCCTGGTTATTTGACAAAATCCCTGAGAAGGGATTTAAACCAAGTGCATTTTTTTTTCCCCCTGAGTGCTAGGGATTACACCCAGGGCCTAATGCTTGCTAGGCAAGTACTCTACCACTGAACTACATGCTCAGCCTCCAACTACATCTCTTTTGTTAAAAAAAAAAAAAAAAATTGGTGTTCTGAGATTTGAACTCAGGGCCTCATGCTTACTAGGCAGGCATTGTACCACTTGAGCCAAACCTCCAAGCCAAACCTTTTTTTTTTTTAAGGCATATTATAGTTGTACCAGGGGTACATTGTGACATTTACAAAAGTGCTTACAACGTATCTTAGTTAAATCCACCCTCCCCCCATGTTTCTCCTTTACTCCCGCTCTCCCCCTTCTTAGAACAATTGCAACAGGTTTCATTGTTCCATTTTCATACATGAATACAGAGTACTTCCATCATATTCACAACTATATTTCTTTTGGAAGAAATTTCCTCAGATAAGGGAGAAGGTCCCTCCTTGCTCTGAGTTAGGGGAGAAACAAGGGAGAGTTAGAAAGACCTTGCTTCTAAGGCAGCTTCTAAGACCTTCCAGTTCCCTTCCTGGCCATCTCTCTTCATTATATGAGGGCATCACGGTTCATCATGTCCAAGCATCATATGAGATACTCTTTTCTGAGCTGCAGCAAAGACACCATGCTAGGTGAAATAAGCAAGACATAAAAAAGCCAGTACTGCATAATTCCACTTACATGAAGCACTTGGAGCAAGTAATTCATACAAATAGAAAGTGGAATGTAGGTGGCTAGGAGCTGAGGGGAGGGAGAAATGGGGAGCGGGTACATAGTTTCACTTTGGGATGATGGAAGAGTTCTGGAGATGGATGGTGGTGATAGGCGTACAGGAGTGTGAGTGCACTTAATGCTACTGAATTGTTCACTTAGAGTTAAAGAGGTACATTTTATGTTTGTATTGTCAATGTGAAATAATGGCTGTGCTTTAAAGGATATAAGAAAGTTTGTTCTGAGCAGTGACCATGACCTGGGAACATGGATTCAGGTTACTCTGAATGACATGTTCCACTGTGGAAGAGGTTACATGAGATTTTCTAGTTATGGGACAAAAGAAAGGTATAATTCATTTACCAACTATATTTACCAACTATATTGGTGGGAGCATTGAGTAGGAGGGCTATAGCAAAGTGAGGAAATATCTTCTATAGGTTTCTGATAATGGCATTCTTAGCATTGGAAGAGGCTAGAGTTTTGTCAAACTTAGTAGTATATTCTGAAAAGTTTAGTTATTGAAAATGTTCAGTCAGATAGAAAAGTTAAAGTAAATGGCTATTAAATGGCCTAAAATAGCCCAGGATAATTTTGGCTCATGACTTACAATCTTTCCACGATAACAACGTTCTAGTCAAGGCCAAGCAATCTGCAGGATTTTCAGTATAGATACAGCTTCTTCAGAGAACTTCACTTCACGGTATATTTTACCACAATTAAAAGAAAGCCAAACTCAGGGCCAGGGGTGTGGCTCAAGAGGTAGAGTATCTGCAAGCAGAAGGCCCTGCGATCAAATCCCAGTACTGTCAAAAAAATAAATGAAGAACGAGCAAGCCAAACTCTTTAATTATTATAGAAGTCATTTAGGTTTTCTGGTAGAAATTCTGGACAAAAAAATTAAAACTATAATACTCCAAAGGCCTAAGAAATAACAGATTGGGGTAGTTTTTCACTAGCCTTTTTATTTTTTTTGGCAGGGGGACAGTACTGGGGGTTTGAACTCAGGACCTTATGCTTGCATAGGCAGGCACCCTACCACTTGAGCCTTTCTGTCACACCTAGTCGTTTTTTAAATCTTTAAAAAATTTTATGCTATTCTCTAACCTGGTTTTTTCACTCATGAAAATTTCCTCATCACATATTCTTTTGCTATATCATTTTAAATGGCTGTATCTCTTCATTATGTGATGGCATCATAGCTAAGTAAGTTGCTTAAACCAAACTTATATTTCTAATTTGTTTCTAACTTTTTCTTTATTAAAACAATATGAATGATCCGGGTGTGGTGATAAAATGTCTTTAATCCCAGCAGAGGCAGGAAGATCTCGTGTTTGAGACCAGCCTTGGCCAAAGTTAGACCCTATCTCAAAAACAAAATATAAGCAAAAGGGCTGAGGGCATAGCTCAAGTGGTAGGGCACGTGCCTAGCAAGTGCAAAGCCCTGACTTCACATCCCAGTACTGTGAAAAATAAATAAATAATAAAACTGATGACTGGGGATGTAGCTCAGTGGTAGAGCTCTTTCCTAGCATGTATAAGGCCCCTGGGTTTGATCCCTAGCACCACAAAGAAGAAAAAAGTTTTCTAGTAGCCAAATACTTACACACATTCATGAATATTTGCCTAGGAGATATTAGTAGAAGTGGGACTGTGAATCAGCTACTGCATCTTTCAAGTATTTTTACACAGATTGCTCTGAAAAGAGCATACAGATTTATGCAGTCACCAGCATGGTGTACTTTCCAAATCTTCAACATAGGCTATTATTAGGTGAGCTGCAATTAAAGCACAGTGGTTCAGAGCATAGACTGGGGAATCAGTTTGCAAAAGTAAGAACCACAGCACTTCCATTTTCTACCTGTATGATCTTCAAATCATTTACCTCTCTGGTGCTTAATTTTCACATACAGTTCTTGTAAGGATTAAGAATTAGCTATTATTATTTGTTTCTTTCCTGAGACTGCACAAAATGCACTTGAAGTAGAACCAGTACAAAAATAATTAGGGCTGCAGGGAGTTGTGTGATTCACCACCAGTGAAACCTGGGAGCATTTGGAACTAGGTAGAAGGGTTTGTATGGGAAAGCCCTTGAGGATGGTCTTACTTGGAACAGAGACAAACAGCTTACACAGTTTCAGTTTTCTCTAAGATGAAGTTATGTGGATATGAAATTATCCTTGTTAAGCCTAAAGCTTGAGTTTGATGAAAAATCCACCCCTGGATGGAACTGATAGCCTATGAAAAAGTGGGAAAAGTTGAGAAGTCCAGGATGAATAGGAGATAACATTTGCCTAGAGGAGCAGAGTGCAGTGTAACAAATGGTGACGTCATTTGGTTATTTTTACACTTGTTTGGCATGCAGCTCTGGGGTCACACAAGCTAGTGAGATGCCAAGACCCTTGGATGTGAGACTAGTGTGGAAGATAAGCACATAAAACACAAGCAAAAACCATGGTTCACATTTCGAAAGGAAAGGCCTAGGATTAGTGTGAATTACTGCACTAAGTACTGCATTCGTCTTCCTTTGGTGACTGAGGAGGCTTTGCTATGTGCCAGGATCCTTAAGAGCTAACCTTGGTCCAGCCCACTCTTCATGGGCCAAACAGCACCCGAAAAGCAGAACTACGAAGTTGTTTCCTGACCTAGTTTCTGTAGGGAGGCTTTGAGAAGTCCTTGAGTAACTATTTGAGCTTTTGTTGATTAGCCAGACTGCCCTTCCCAGCGAGGAGCTGACGGCTCGACTGCAGTAGGCGCTTAGGCTGCAGCCAAGGCAGCGGCCACTAGAGGATCTCTACCAAGTTTCTTCGCTCAAGTTCAGTTCCGAGGTCTGAAGTTGAGGCACAAGATGGCCTCGTCTTATGCTGTCCTGCGAGCCAGCGGTCTGTGCCAATGGGGCTTTAAGAGTTGGGCGCGGCTGTCACGGACTCCACAGCTCCGGCCGGGTGGTCAGATCTCTTGGGCCCCTGCGAGGACAACGGCGACGCTGACTGTGGAGCCCGCGGGCCGCTGCTGCTGGGACGAGCCCGTGCGCATCGCCGTGCGCGGCCTGGCCCCCGAGCAGCCCGTCACGCTGCGCGCGTCCCTGCGCGACGAGAAGGGCGCGCGCTTCCGGGCCCACGCGCGCTACCGCGCAGACGCCGCCGGCCACCTCGACCTGGCGCGCGCGCCCGCGCTGGGCGGCAGCTTCGCGGGGCTCGAGCCCATGGGGCTCCTCTGGGCCCTGGAGCCCGACAGGCCGTTCTGGCGCCTGGTCAAGCGGGACGTGCAGACGCCCTTCGTCGTGGAGCTGGAGGTGTTGGACGGCCACGAGCCCGACGGCGGGCGGCTGCTGGCCCGGGCGGAGCACGAGCGCCACTTCATGTCGCCAGGGGTGCGGCGGGTGCCGGTGCGCGCGGGCCGGGTGCGGGCCACGCTCTTCCTGCCGCCCGGTGAGCCACCTGCTGGCCTTGTTCTTCTCTCTGATGGTCCCTTACCTGCGCTTTTGCCTTTAGGAAAGAGGTAGCTTCCAACATTCTAAAAGTCAATGTCAAGGAGACAGAATGGAAGGAAGGCTATCAAGGAAGGTAGCGCTGCTGCTGCAAAACAGACTGGTCCTTCAAATCCTTTGCTCAGTTAAAAGATCTCCTTATGAGACCTTTTTAGTGGTACTTTCAGTTTTTCAATGTTCTTTTAAAAGTTTCTCAGTTTGACAGCATTTCTTTATATGTTTAGTTATGTGTAAATTAGGTACAATAAGCGTGCTGTGTGAACGGTTTTCTAAAATTGGGATTGCTACGTTATATAAGTTTATGTTTGTAAGAAACCGCCAACTGTTTTCTACACACTTTTCTGCACATTTTGCATGACTACCAGCTTTGTCAGTGCATCCTCACTGACACTTGCATTGTCTAGTTCTGGGGCAGGGGAGGGGGCAGTATTTTTATTGTTGTTACTCATTTGTAAAATTCTTCCCCCTCACAGTATCAGCATTTTTAATTGTTTCTAGAAAACTTAATCATACCAGGTAAGCAAAAAATGGCTCCGGATGCCACTGCAGAGGGTTTCAGGAATTGTTTAGTTTTGTGTTTTGTGTTCTTTCTTCCCAAGAACCTGGACCCTTTCCTGGGATTGTGGACCTTTTCGGAGTTGGAGGGGGCCTCATGGAGTATCGAGCAAGTCTGCTAGCGGGGAAGGGTTTTGCTGTGATGGCTCTGGCTTATTACAACCATGAAGACCTCCCCAAGACCTTTGAGGCCATGCACATTGAGTACTTTGAAGAAGCAGTGAACTTCCTGCTCGATCATCCTGAGGTTAGAGTTTCTCTAACTTCTCTGGGCTACTTATCTGCTCTCCTCCTCATGCACGCTCTTGGTTTCACAAAATTATCTCATTTGTGATGACAGCCCTTGTCTACCATTGCTTTTTATAGTCACTTCTCATAGACATTTTTATACAATTCTATATTTGTGAAGTATTTCCTGTTAGTAAAGATGTTGTTAGTTGGTATTCTGGAATTTTGAGTTCCAGTATGTTACAGTATTTCCAAATGAGCCCAAACACAGTTGAGAGCCCTGGCTTTGACAGGGAAAGAAGAAGGGCATGACTGTCCCCATTTAAATGATTGTGTTCAACACCCCTCTCCCCTTTCTCTGTGTGAAAGCACAGTTTAAAGAAGGAGCATGAGGGCGAGGGCTGTAGCTCAGTGGTTTAAGATTTGCCTCACATGCAGAAGGCCCTGGGTTGATCTTCAAAACCAAAAAATAAGAAAAAATAAAAAATAAGAAAAAATAAGGGACATGACAGCCAGTGCCTTGGTATCAGGAATGTTTTGAGGTTTCTAGACTCAGCATATCAGATCTTGCATATTTTTTAATTATATCAGAGCTCTTAGATAAAGTGATAGGGTATAGTGGAGCCAGCATCAAGTTTCTATAGGGAAAAAGTAAATTTGGAATTTGATTTTGCCACCTCTGTTTCTTCTTTTAAAAAACTGTCGGGATTAAAATACCACTTAATTTCTAGGACTTCAGTGAGGAACAATAGTAGACAACCAGTAAAGGGTGTTGTTGCAAAAACAATAAAGGGGGGAAAAAAGACTGCTCCAATAGGTCAACCTATGGGCCATTTGTTTACAAAATACAGGACAAAGGGGTCCAGGACAAGGGCAGTAATTGTGGGACAGTGCAAACCCACACTAATTGGAAGCCACTGAGTACGGCATGGAAGGGAAAGAGCACCTGCAGTGAACAGGAGTAGCATCAGGGTGGGAACTAGTGGGGCTAGGATCACAAGATTGTCAGTAAATGGAAGAGTCAAGAACAGGAAGTCCCTGAGGGGAATGAGCAGATAGAGGGAATGTTATAATGAAGGAGAGGAAGCTGGAAGTAACTACAGAAGGTCAGTCCTCGACAAAGAGAGTGCATGGTAACCCAAGCACAGATAGAGGGAGGCCTTGGAGAAGATCAGGAGAGAAATCTGAGAGCTTGAGTTCATGTGGCAGTAGGTAGAAGTTCCCACCTGATCACTTCTGTTTTCTCACTGGAGCATGAAGAGCTGAAAATGAATGGGAGTGGGGGGACCAAAATGGCTAGAGGTGGAAATGTGAGGTGGTGCTCGGGATAAGTGCAAAGCACATTTTCAGTGACACGTGGCATCGTGGAGGTAAGATGTGAAGTGAAGGTAAGATGAGTTGGCACCCCTCTGTGTGCAGGCCTGGAGAAGTGAATAGGTGGACTTAACCAGGAGAAGCCCTTTTCCAGGGCAGTATGACCAAAAGAAGGCGGGTAATAAGAGAGATGAGAGTGTTCCCAAGGGAGGGATTTCACGGATGAAGCATGAAATCTAAGCTGGAGGAAGTGGGAAGTGAGAATATGAAGGATGTTGATAGTGAGGAAGTGAAGAAGGGGTAGCCTCATGTCTGAAAGAGGTGGAAATGGTGTAACTAGAAGGGCTAAACTAAAAGGGTTAAAGATGATGAGAGGCCAATGCTTGAAGCTGAGATCTTCAGTGATGATGACTCGTTTAGGTTTTAACAATGGAAATGGCTGGCTCAGATGAAACAGAGAAACAGATTCCAGGAGTTATGGAGGGCTAGGAACTCCATGTGATAGATCATCAAGTGGTTGTTGAAATCTCCATAAAAGGACAAATTGTGGAAAAGAAGAAAAGGAGGAAGGGTATAGGTTGTAACTAAAGAACAGCTTGAGCTCAGATCTAGGCTCAGGCCCACCTGACTTCCAGGGTGGCACTACTCACTCTGCTACACTGATGGTGAACTCCTTCCTCATTGGTCTGTTCCTTTTTCAGGTAAAGGGTCCAGGAATTGGGCTGCTTGGAATTTCCAAAGGGGGTGAACTCGGCCTTGCTATAACTTCTTTCCTGAAGGGTGTCACGGCTGCTGTCATAATCAATGGCTCTGTGGCTGCTGTTGGGGGCACCATACACTACAAGGATGAGTCTGTGCCCCCTGTGAGCATACTCAGAAATCGAGTCAAGATGACCAATGATGGCCTCATGGATGTTGTGGATGCCCTGCAAAGTCCCTTGGTAGAAAAGAAGAGTTTCATTCCTGTGGAAAGGTCTGACACCACCTTCCTGTTCCTTGTAGGACAGGATGACCACAACTGGAAGAGTGAGTTCTATGCTGATGAGGTCTCTAGGCGCTTACAGGCCCATGGGAAGGAAAAGCCCCAGATCATCTGTTACCCCGAGGCGGGGCACTATATTGAACCCCCTTACTTCCCCTTGTGCAGGGCTGGCATGCACCTCTTGGTGGGCAGTAATATCTTGTTTGGAGGAGAGCCCAGGGCTCATGCCATGGCCCAGGTGGATGTGTGGAAGCAGCTCCAGACTTTCTTGCACAAACACTTGGGTGGTCAAAGTTAGGGAGTTCTTCTATAAACAGAGCCCATACTTGAAGGTTGGGAATAAAGACTCAAATGTATTTTTAGAACATCAGTTAAGATTAGTTCACCTGAATGTATTATTATAAATCTTTTTTTTTCACTTTAATTATTGATATTAAAAATAGGGCCTAGCCTAGTGTGCTGGTGCTTGCCTGTAATCCCAGCATTTTGAAGTCTTAGACAGGGGGATTAGGAGTTCAGGGCCAGCCTTGGCTACCTAGTGAGTTCAAGGTCAGCCTGGCCTACCTAGTAAGACCCTGTTTCAAAAAACAAAGCAACAGAAGTGCCTGTCCAAAAAATGATGTCATGAATGAATGAAAAGGGAGCCATAAGCATAAAAACTTCTGTTTAATTAAATATTAGACTATTACAGACAAAGTTATTGTCTCCTTCAGTTCTTGGGCTAATGTTACCACTATGATCCTTTTCCTAGAAGTGACCTTTAGGATGATTTTGATGTGTATCCTTTCAGAGGGCGTGTGTTAAGGTGCATATATGTCACAATAAAAGACAAACTTTTTTTGCATAAGTGTCATTTGAAGGATAATACTGATTTTATAAAACAAGCAAATTTTGGGAAAAGAGCACCTTTTACCTGACACAACTCTATGCCAGGTCAACACATGGGACTGACAAACATTTTAGTACAGGCAGGAAACGAGCAGTTGGGGAAAGAAACAATGCTTCTAGGAACTCTGTGTTGTGCCAAACATTAATCTCCACAACAGTCCTGTAGGCAAGTACACTAATGTGTACAAGCAAAGATCTTTTTCACGCATCTGAAGGCCATAGTCATCTGCCAGAGGCAGTGGTTGGTATTAAGAGTGTAGGGGAGGATAGATTTCTTGTCTTCATCCATCGATAGTTTCATGGCTGAGGCCTCTATGACAAATGACAGGTTATGAAGGGGAAAACCATAGAAATTTATTCAGGATAAATTTCATAAGACAGAAGCCTTCAGAAATGAAGGCCCAAAGGAACAGGGAAGCCTATGGTTGTGTCTGTTTTAAACCTGTATTTTTATGCTCAGTTTGTTGAGGAAGTGTACAGTTGTAGAGAAATATATTTAGAGAAAGGGGATATGATCTGGTAATTAACTGGGGGGAAATTTAGCAATGCATGTCCAGATTCTTCTGTGTCTCTGTCTTTAGAGATAAGGCTGTTCCCTTCTTTTCTTTTTTTTTTTTTTTTAAGACAGGGTCTGTCTATGTAGCCCAGGCTGTACTTGAACTCACTCAACCTGCCACATGCTGTGATTACAGGTGTGCTCCACCATGCCTGGAAGCATGTTCCTTTCTTCCTTTTTTGCTTTATTTGGTGGTGCTGGGGATTGAACAAGGCCTTGCATGTGCCAGGCAAGTGTTCAAGTGTTTTACCCCTGAGCCACCTCTCCAGCCCAGAATGTTCCTTTCTTAAGGTTGTTTTTTCTTAAGGATATTCCTTTCATAAAGAGAGGATCTTTTTTTTTTTTTTGGTGTTGGGGGGGTGGTTCTGGGGTTTGAACTCAGGGCCTCACACTTACTAGGCAGGCACTCTACTACCTGAGTTACTCTGCCTGCTTGAGAAGATATTTCTTTTTTTGCAGTACTAGGGCCTGAATTCAGGTCTTTCACTTTGAGTCACTCCACCAGCCCTATTTTTGTGAAGGGTTTTTCAAGATAGGGTCTTGTGGAACTATTTGCCCAGGCTGGCTTCGAACTGCGATCCTCCTGATCTCTGCCTCCTGAGTAGCTAGGATTACAGGCGTGAGCCACCAGAGCCCAGTGAGAAGGTATTTTTTGTTTTTGTTTTTTTCCTGTGCTGAGGACCAAACTCAGGGCCTTGCACTTGCCATGCAAGCGCTCTTCCACTGAGCTAAATCCCCAACCCCAAGAAGGTATTTCTTGAATGAAGGTTTTATGGCCTACTTCAGGGGAAAAGTGTGAGAAAAGGTCATGGAGTAACCTTTCTAGGTTTTATGACCTGTATCTGCTGTTTTCTCAAATGTGAAGGTACTATTTTTTATAGTAGGATGCCCTAACTGTCATCATTCCTCCATCTGTATCTTCCCCTAGGGTTCCCAGTCCAGAAACAGGGTTGGTGCATTGCTCCATAAGCCAATGAAGCAGCCTGTCATTCCTCGGAGTAGGTCAGGCCAGTTAAACCATTACGTCTTATTTCAGAAGGTGGTGCTATAGGTGGGCTCCCTCTAAACTTAGGCTTCTATATGATTTAGGCAAGCTGATATTTAATCAAAGGCACTTGTATGCAAAGAAAGGAAAAAACAAAGATTAACGGCTAGAGAAAAACTATACATTCAGCTTTTGAGTCCAGTGGGTAGTCAGTTGAGAAGGTTTCTAGATGCTGGGGTCTAAAGAGCTTTAGGTGGTGAAACAAGGCAGTGGCTTGTGGCAGCTTTTCTTCCCTTGTAGTTTGCATCCGGTGTCTGCTGTATTTTGAGTGGCCTGTACAGTAACAGTTACAAAGATTTTCCATACATGAACTGTCGTGGTGATCTCTCTAATGTCTTTCAAGCTGTCCAGCTTTAGCTTGCAGGGCTTTGGGGAAAAGGGCAGATTTTGTTTTTAGATTTTTAACCAGAGGGTGGGAGAAAAAAAACTGAAATACTAAAGAGTGGTAGCTAGATTTTGGAGGAGACCAGAATTCATAATCCAGTCCATTTTACAGATAGACCTAAAATCTGATAGCTATGAGGGTGTGCTAGAGGTTTCTATTGAAACAAATATTCTCACACCCATTTCTGTTAAAGATGGTCTAAGTAAAACTAATTTGTTTGCAAAATAGGTGTATTCTGTTTCTTTCTTTTTTTTTGCAGTACTGGGCTTGAACACCAGCCCTTTTCTGCTAAGGGTTTTTTCGAGATAGGGTCTCCCAGAACTGTTTGCCCAGGGTTGGCCTGGAACTGCAGTCTTCCTGAATAGCTAGGATTATAGGTGTGAGCCCCCACTGGCGCCCTGCATCTGTACTGTATTTCTTATTTTGGTGCAACCAGGTCTTCACACATGCTGAGTACATGCTGCACCACTGAGCTACACCCTCAGCCCCTAATTAGAATTTTTAATCCTTAGTAACTTGAATTTCTAATGAAAACTATGACATAAGCCATTGGACCGTGCTGATAGTAAGGAATACAATGACTGCTAGTGCAGTTTGGTGCCTTTGTTCATTGCTTTTTCAACGTCAGTGCTAATGTCAACAAAATAGAAAAAGGCAAATTACACCTTAGAATTATGATGAAAATAGTTTTTGATCTTTACCCAGGAATCTGTAGTAAATGAACATTTATTCTAGAGAAACTCTTCATTGATACACCAAGAGACAAAACAGGAACGTTCATAGCGTGCTGTAGCAGTGAAAAAGTGGAAGTGCTCAGTATGTCTATTGGTAGTAGAATGGATAAACAAATTGTGGACTATTAACACAATGTGATAAGATAAAGCAGTGAAAATGAATGGACTCCAACAACCCAAAATGTAAAAGACACAAATCTTAAGAACATATTGAGCAAAATAAACAAACTGTAGAAAAATTAATAAAGTATGTTTTCATTAGATATGATACCCAAAACACAAGCAAAAAATAAGTTGGACTTCATCAAAAGGAAACATTTTTGGTACTTCAAAGGACACAATTAACAAAGTGAAAAAACAACACACCGAATGGGAAAAATTATTTGTAAAAGGACAGAGAATATATAAATCTGATGGTATAGATGAAAACCCAAGACAACTCAGCTGCTTCTACTATACTTTCACAACACAGCTCACTGTATCTGATGTGGAGGAGTTTCCACATTTGCGGCAGACACCAGCTGGGTATCTATCCTCTGATTCAATTCAATTCTGTCACTATCAAGTGTCTGATCCCACAGGCTGAGGGCTCAGACCCCAAGACTGCCCTCCCCACCCCACTTTAGATGTCAGTGGCAAGCCCAGTTCTTTTTACCTGTGCTTCTGATCAATCTGGTATAAATGGGTTCCCATAACATCCTCCTTGAGTTCAATTAATTTGCTTGAGTGGTCCATAGAAGTCAAGGAAGCTCTTGTGCTTAATGGTTCATTATAAAGGATACAGATGAGAGGCAGAGAATGAGGGCAAAGATTGAAGTAAGAGACATGCTTCCATGCCCTATCCAAGAGAGCCAGCCTTCAGGAACCTCTACATATTCAACTATCTAGAAGCTCTCCAAACCTTGTGGGGTTTGCCCTTGTGGGGTCTGATCACAACCTCATTGCATAAGCATGAGTGAAACATGGACAGTTGTGTTGAAATGTAATTGAGCAAAAAAGGCATGATAATAGACTGAGTGGAAGACCCAGCAAGAATCTGTCTACCAGATTCTTTTTGGCATCTCTATGCAGCATTGCTTCTTCCTGGGTATGGGAAAAATACTTTTCTGAAATGAGGGATTTATGATCTACTGTGAGACAAAGTGGGTTGCAGAATGTCAATATGGCCAGTTCCAAGATAGAAAGTCAGGGAAGATTAGAATTTCTGTGACATACCATAGGGAGGAGAAATTCTAGCTTCTGATGGGAGCAATGTAACAAATGTACAATATAAGTCTAATCAGAATTGCCATTATGAATCCCCCCCTATAACAAATATATCCTAATAAAAATTTATTTAAAAAATTCTAATTTCTATAGCTTTTCTTGGAGAGGAAGTTATGAACCAACAACTGTTGATAAAAACCAAAACATACATGTAATAGCACAATACAGAATTCTTACACCACAATAATGAAAAGACAATCCTCCTTAGTGCTGATGAGTAGTCTGGCATTATCCTCACAGATTAAACATTGTGTTGACACATGACCCAGCAATTCTAGTCTTAGGTATAAATCAAAGAGAAGTGAGAACATGATGACACAAAAACTTGTACGCAGACGTCCATAGCTGCATTATTCATAACAGCCAAGAAGTGAACACAACCCAAATGTCCAACAACCAATGGATGAATAACTAAAAGTGACATATCCAAACAATGGAATACTATTTGGCAATAAAAAGAGAATGCAGTACTCATACATAGATCTATCACGTAACACAGATGGCCCTTGAACAAATTATGGTAGGATGGAAAAGCCAGACACAAAAGACTACATGGTGTATGATTACATTTACAAGAAATGTTCAGAAAAAAACTAATTTATGGAAACAGAAAATAACAGTTGCCTAGGGCTGGGCAGAGAGAGAAATGGAGAGAATGGGAATTGACTACTGATGAACTCAATGTTTCTGGGGTGATGAAAATGTGGCAGAATTAGATAATGATTGGTGATGGTTGTCTAGCCTTGGGACTATGCTTTGAAACACTGAATTGTACACTTTAAGTGAATTATATGGCATAAGTCATGCCATATAAAGATCTGTTTATTTTCATTTTGTTTTCTGAGACAGTGACTCAATTATGTAGCCAGGATTGTCCTGGAACCCATTACATAGTCCAGGCTGGTCTTGAATTCCCAAGTAGTATGATTCAGGCATGCTCCATGATTCCCAGCCCAAGATGTTATTCTTAAAAATTAGACACACTCTTCACAAGAGTTGAATTCAGCTAAATAAAAACTCTGATCAAGTGAAAAAGGAATGTTTCCATTTTATGTATGGTTCAAAATTGGCAAAACTAGAAAAAAGTTTAAAGATATGAGCATGATAAAACCAGAGAAAACTAAGGGATTGATAAACACAAATCAAAGATGGTGATTACATCTGGGTGGGACTAGAATGGAGTACATGGAGCAGGGCTCAGAAGAAAAGGTAATGTTCTAATTCTAATAGGTGTTGGTGTTTAAAGCATCACATATTTTACAATTATTTGTCTAACTGATTCAATATTTAATTTTTAAGAGTAATTTAAGAGAAGGGAGGAAAGAAGGAAAGAGAGAGAGAGATCCAGCAAAGCTGTCTGTCTTAGGTTAGAATTCTCTGTTCCCTAAATGTCTTAATTGCCAAAAACCATTTGGAACTGGTGACTCA